ATTTAAGAAAAATAGACTGTTAATTGGTGAAAAGAGGGAAAGTAAACTTATATCAAGATCAAGATAAATTTTCAGGATAAAAATTTTGAAGAGAGGGAAAGGATTTGCTGAAATGGATAATTGACTTAGAATACAAAAAAGGGAGGTGTGAGGAGGTCAGGGAAACAAGCAAATGAAAGATAAGTTATGGGAAGGTTCGATTTGTTTTTTTCTTTTTTCTCCTGTTTTTAATTGTTATTATCTTTCTGTTTTTTATCGTGATGTGTTGATTTTGTTATTGTTCAATTTGGTGTTTTTTCTTTTGCCTTTTTGTAAACCTAAAACTTTAATAAATACTATTAAAAACAACAACAAACAATTAGATGCTGGAAGCTCCTGGGACAGAACCCGTGTCGTCGTCTCTGTGCCCCCCCTCCCAGTTTTTCAACAGACTTCCTAGAAAGGTGGATGTCAAGGAGAGCTTGAAAAGACACTTTGCCTCAAAATGCTGTCCCCAGCTTTCTCCTCTAATAATAATAATAATAATAATAATAATAATAATAATTTTTATTTATACCCCGCCCCCCCCCGGCCAAAACCGGGCTCAGAGCAGCGAACATCAAATGTATACACATTAACATAAAATCAGGCAATCAATTAAAATACATCCTAAAACCAGATCAGGACCAGAATAAAATCCAATTAGATGGCAACCCATAGATTAGGGTTGGGGACCTTAAACGCTCACCATAATATACTGAGATTATATACTGATTTAATATATATACAAGCAAAACGAAACAAACCCCTGATTATATTATTTAAAATTTAAGGTTATGAAGAAATGCACTCTGTCTAAATCCCTCATACCAGGTCTTCCAAGGCTGGGGAAGTGCCTGAAAAAGCCTTAAAATATTACACTCTCATTTTAAAAAGTGTATTTGTGGGTACCATAGTTTTCCGTGTATAAGACGATGGATGTTCTTTGCTAAGAAAAAAAATAGTCAAAAATGGAAATAGTAAGAAATTGATTTCTTAATTTTGGGTTCAAAATATAGGGGTCATCTTATACATGGGGGCATCTTATACACAAAAAAATATGGTAATTGTTGCTTGAGAATAGAATCCCAGAGTTGGAGGGAACCTCAAAGGTCATCTAGTCCAACCCCCTGCAATGCAGGATCGCCGTTGACCCTGAATGATTTCTTGGTAGCCATTAACACACTTTGCACTACAGCAGACTCGCTATGCTTGGCAATATTTGGCAATGTTTGCCATGAAACAGTCAATATCTGAGAGTATCTGACAACTAACATGCAGAAGCAAGCAGCGTTTGACAGCGTTTGACATGTAACAGTCGATATTTGGCACTTTCTGGAAGGTAATTCATCGTATGACTCAGTAAGGTGATTGGCACGCAGTAGCAATTGACATTGACAGTTTGCTTGCAGGCGACATGCAGAAGCGTGTAGTAAATTCTGTTCTTTGTCCGTTCATTCATTTAACCTATCAGGAAACACCGCCTTCGAGAGGAGCTGTGCAAAGTTGAATGTTGACGTCAAATTGCGTTTTTTTGAGGCGGGCTTTTCAAATCAAAATCTCAAACCTTGAAAATAAGACAGATTTATATTCTCTCTCTCTCTCCATCTTGCCAGTGTGATGTCATAGAGTGTCAGACTAGGACCTGGCAGAGCAGGGTTCAAATCGTCACTTGCTTGTGAAGCTCCCTGGGTGACCTTGGCCCAATCCCTGTCTCTCACATAAATTATATTTGGTGTTTCACAGGCGGTAACAACAACAACAACAACAACAAATTTTATTTATATCCCGCCCTCCCCTGCCAGAGCCAGGCTCAGGGCAGCTAACATCATCATCATCATCATCATCATCATCATAATTATTTATACCCCGCCCATCTGGCTGGATTTCCCCAGACACTCTGGGCGGCTTCCAACAAAATATTAAAATACAGTAATGCATCAAACATTAAAAGCTTCCCGAAACAGGGCTGCTTTCAGATGTCTTCTAAAAGTCTGGTATTTGGTGTTCTCTTTGACATTTGGGGGAGGGCGTTCCACAGGGCGGGTGCCACTACCTAGAAGGCCCTCTGCCTGGTTCCCTATAACACATTACATTTCCTATATAATACATTAAAACATAAAGTCAACTTCTTCAAGACGTGGAGGTGCCATTTAGCTGTTCGCCATCCTGTCCCAGGGTTCAGCATGTCATATGTCCTTCAAAGCGATGGGCTGCCCAGGAAGCTGAGACCAAGCCAAGGCATGAGATTTCATCCTTCTCCTTTGAGTGATTGAGGCTGACTTGGCCGAGCTCCTTGTTACGACCTGTTTTGTCAGCATTTGGAGCCGGGCTGAGCTGAGCTGAGCCGAGTGACACCAATTATGTTTGTCAAGCCCCCTTTGGAAGCCCAAAGATATATGAAATCTAGTTGGGGAATGATCCATCAAGGCCCCTTTCACCGCAGAAGGCCTGTCACGCTGACAAGGTATTGAGTGAGCCCGGAGTCTCTCTGGACAGACAGGTTATGGGGAACATTATATCATCCCAAGCCAATCCTTCAGCTGCGGAGAGTGAAAAATGACGCCGGGGTGGTTTCCGCTTGGGGCTATTGACCAGGAAAAGCCTGCGCTGAGATGCAGTGTATTGGCTTTAAGCTCACACAGGCATCGCTGAGACTGCAGCAGGACTGGGATCACAGAAGAGTTGTAAGGGACCCCTGAGGGTCCTGTAGTCCAACCCCCTGCGATGCAGGGATTGCAGATAAAGAATCTCAACAATGTCTAGGCAACATGATGACCATTGTTATTGTTTAGTCGTTTAGTTGTGTCCGACTCTTTGTGAGCCCCTGGACCAGAGCACTCCAGGTACCAGAGCACGCCAGGTCTTCCACTGCCTCCTGCAGTTTGGTCAAACTCATGCTGGTAGCTTCGAGAACACTGTCCAACCATCTCGTCCTCTGTCGTCCCCTTCTCCTTGTGCCCTCCATCTTTCCCAACATCAGGGTCTTTTCCAGGAGTCTTCTCTTCTCATGAGGTGGCCAAAGTCTTGGAGCCTCAGCTTCAGGATCTGTCCTTCCAGTGAGCACTCAGGGCTGATTTCCTTCAGAATGGAGAGGTTTGATCTTCTTGCAGTCCATGGGACTCTCAAGAGTCTCCTCCAGCACCAGAATTCAAAAGCATCAATTCTTCGGTGATGAGCCTTCTTTATGGTCCAGCTCTCACTTCCATACATCACTACTGGGAATGTATGACAGCAGTCACGAAATTAAAAGACACCTGCTTCTTGAGAGAAAAGCAATGACAAACCTAAACAGCATCTTAAAAAGCAGAGACATCACCTTGCCAACAAAGGTCCGTATACTTAAAGCTATTGTTTCCCCAATCAGCGTGCATTATTACCTGTCTTCCTTCAGTGAGTCCCAGGGCAAGGTACAACAATTTAAAATTCAGAATTAAAAACAGTGGAAAGAGATTCCTGTCACAGGAATAGGGGGGATTCTGAAAACACACATAGGGTTGCCATATTCCAAAAAGTAAAAACCCCAAAGTTGTTGAATTGCCAAAAAAACATGATTTTTCGATTGACTTCTCTAAGTTCCAGGACAGGCATAGGCAAACTCAGCTCTTCAGTAGTTTTGGGACTACAACTCCCATCATCCCTGACCACTGGTCCTGGTAGCTAGGGATGATGGGAGTTGTAGTCCCAAAACATCTGGAGGGCTGAGTTTGCCTATGCCTGATCCAAGACAAAGCGTCGCCTTTCAGAAATCCCCCCAGATGTCAATTTGGCCTTTGAAATCCAGGTAGACTCATCTCAGGTGTGATTCCTGCATTGGAGGTTGGACTAGATTAAAGAGGTGCTTTTTCAGTGTTCACTGAAAACTTTCTCACGAAGGTGCCGAACAACACCTTTGTATACATATCTTTGTACACAGTTTTGCCTAATTTCTGCAACCAATTTCCCTTAACAGAATGCATTCCTGTGCAAACTACCCCCCCCTTAAAATGCGCACTTTTGGGACATGTGCTTTGGTTGGATTAATGCACTGCAAAATCCGGACGAGTCACTGCGCTTTGTTTTGGGAAGTGTGCCTGAGCTTGAACCGAACTGTTTTCCTCTCGCATCCCTACTCACAAGTATATCCTTTGCAGGCTGCAACCCGTGAAGGCCTGGGCGCAAGCAATTATGGATTAAGTCCTTAATTAAAGACTCTCGTTCTCTGCGTAGGAACCGCCGCCACCCTGTCTCCGGAAGAAATTCCGAGCAAATATTCCTGCCCCATCTATAGATCATAGACTCAGAGCAGTGACATAATAAATAATCCACCGTAAGTTTTTAAAGGTAAACCCCGGCATGCTATTAATAACCATCCCGGCCCCATATATCAAAGTGAAGCCTTCCCATTAGAGCTGATCCCTGGTCTCTCTCTGCTCGCCTCCTGCTGCCTCCCTTCGTTGCGTCTGCTGCCGTGAATAGTACCGCTCCGTATTGCTCATCTCAGGGAACCGCCATCGCCTTGGGACTTGATGCCAACTGCCCAGGCTGCATCTCAGCTGTTCCCTGGAATGGTCCTGCAAAGCTGAGACCACATAACACTGGTCCTGAAAGACCTACATTGGCTCCCAGTACGTTTCCAAGCACAATTCAAAGTGTTGGTGCTGACCTTGAAAGCCCCAAACGGCCTCGGTCCAGTATATCTGAAGGAGCATCTCCACCCCCATCGTTCTACCCAAACACTGAGGTCCAGCTCCGAGGGCCTTCTGGCGGTTCCCTCACTGCGAGAAGCCAAGTTACAGGGAACCAGGCAGAGGGCCTTCTTGGTGGTGGCGCCCTCCCTGTGGAACACCCTCCCATTAGATGTCAATGAAATAAACAACTATCTGACTTTTAGAAGGCATCTGAAGGCAGCCCTGTTTAGGGTACTTTTTAATGACTGATGTTTTAATTACAGGTAGGTAGCCGTGTTGGTCTGCCGTAGTCAAAACAAAACAAAACAATTCCTTCCAGTAGCACCTTAGAGACCAACTAAGTTTGTTATTGGTATGAGCTTTCAGGTATCTGAAGAAGTGTGCATGCACACGAAAGCTGATACCAATAACCAACTTAGTTAGTCTCTAAGGTGCTACTGGAAGGAATTTTTATTTATTTTGATGTTTTAATGTACAGTGGTACCTCGGGTTACATATGCTTCAGGTTACAGACGCTTCAGGTTACAGACTTTGCTAACCCAGAAATAGTACCTCGGGTTAAGAACTTTGCTTTAGGATGAGTACAGAAATCGCACAGCAGCGGCATGGCAGCAGCGGGAGGCCCCATTAGCTAAAGTGGTGCTTCAGGTTAAGAACAGTTTCAGGTTAAGAACGGACCTCTGGAACTAATTAAGTACTTAACCCGAGGTACCACTGTATTTCTAATCTTTTGCTGGAAGCAGACTGGCTGGGGAAACCCAGCCAGATGGGCGGGGTAGAAATAATAATAATAATAATAATAATAATAATAATAATATAATATCATCTTCATCCTTTTGATTTTGTAGGCTGGTGTAGGCTGTAGGTTCACCCAAACAGGGAGAGAAGAGACTGCCAACCAAAATTTATCTGAACCTTTCCAGATGAAGCAAAGGTGAGAGAGAAAGCGCTTTCTATTTCACCTGGGGAAAAGGAGTGCTTTTTTTCTGAAGCCGAATGTGATGAACCCAGAAGGAAGCCACTGTCATCTCTGGGGAACCACAGCTAAAGTTCCAGTTCAGCAGTTGCTCTCAGTCCCCTCTTGGGACTCAATTAGCAAGGCCTCAAATTAGGAGCGCAGAGACTTTTCTCTCCCTGGAACTGGTCCCGCTCATTCGGGAATGTTGTTTTCCATGAAGTATGCCGTTGACTTTAAGGGTGCATTGACCATATTGGCCATACAGTGGTACCTTGGTTCTCAAACTCCGAAAACCCGGAAGTAAGTGTTCTGGTTTTCAAACATTTTTCAGAAGCTGAACATCCAATGAGGCTGTTAGCTATTGTTTCTGGGGCACTTGCACCAATCAGAAGCTGTGCCTTGGTTTTTGAACATTTTGGAAGTGAAAAGGACTTCCGGAACTGATTAAGTTTGGCGCTTTTGTTTTTGCTATTTATTTTGTGTTTTTGCTTTTGAGGCTTTTTCGATTAATTTGTTTTTGTGACTGTGTGGAACCCAGTTCAGCTACTGATTGATTGATTGTGTGACTGTGGAAATAGATAAAAGCCCCCCATCCAAACAATGACTATCATCAGTGCAGGTAAGAAAAAAAATTAATTTTATTTTTTATCATCTACAATACCGTCTTACTTATTTTATAGTACAGTACATTGATTATTGCTTTCATTTTATGGATCAATGGTCTTGTTAGATAGTAAAATTCATATTAAATTGTTGTTTTAGGGGTAGTTTTTAAAAGTCTGGAATGGATTAATTCGTTTTGCATTACTTTCTATGGGAAAGCGCGCCTTGGTTTTGGAACGCTTTGGTTTTGGAACGGATTTCTGGAACGGATTAAGTTTGAGAACCAAGGTAGCACTGTATTTGTTTGTGAAAGGATGGACCAGAGAGTTTTATGACATCTCTTGCGGCACCTGAGTGGGCCTATCAAAACATGGTGTGAGTTACGTGAATACGAGAAATTCGAAACGAGCAGCTCAAAATCTTTTTTTAAAAAGGGATTTTGCAAAAACAAAAACAAAAGCTGTATAACTTTGCCAGATAAAGCTCAACAACTTTTGTGCCCAGATTTTCACTTTTTGAAATATGGCAACCCTATATGAAATCACTGGAAGGAGTTTGGGGACAAGGTGCCACCACTAAGCTGAAGACACTCAACTCTGTTTCTCCATAGCATCTATCTCAGGAGAGGCTGTGAATCCCAGCAAAAAGGGAGGTGCTGTGGCTGAATGGTTCTTGTGTCCAAGAAATTGGCCCATTGACTGCCCTGGATGGGGTTGTGCTGTCCGAGGGGCCTTCTGGATCTGGGCTGGTTTTCATCATCATCATCATCATCATCATCATCATCATCATCTATTTATACCCCGCCCATCTGACTGGGTTTCCCCAGTCACTCTGGGCGGCTCCCAACAGAATATTAAAAACACCATAAAACATCAAACATTAAAAGCTTCCCTAAACAGAGCTGCCTTCAGATGACTTCTAAAAGTCAGATAGCTGTTTATTTCCTTGACATCTGATGGGACGGTGTTCCACAGGGCGTGTGCCACCACCGAGAAGGCCCTCTGCCTGGTTCCCTGTAACCCCACTTCTCACGACCAGAAGGCCCTCAGAGCTGGACCTCAGGGTCTGGGCTGAATGATGAAGGTGGAGACTCTCCTTCAGGTATACGTTTGGGTCATATTAAGCAGGGCTGGCCCTATCATTAGGCAGAGCGAGGCAGGGGACTCAAGAGTGGCAGCCCCCATTTCTCCTGATCCCCATGGCTACTCCTTCCCCTGTCAGCTTTGAGCAAAGATTCGGTTGTCGTTGGGGGTGGCAAATCAGCTCATTTTGGTTCTCTATTTTTCTACCCTTAAGTTCATATCTCCACATTTCCACATCAGTTTGGGTGCTGTCCCTCCCCCCAAAAAAACCCTACTCATGAAAATTCATCAGCATCACATTGCAAATTTCTTCTGATATACATTGATTGATTGATTGATTGATTGATTGCATTTATATCCCATCAAGGAGCTCTCAGTGGTATGCAACGGTTCTCCCCAACCACACTTTATCTTCACAACAACCCTGTAAGGTACGTTAGGCTGAGAGGCAGGGACTGTCCAAATGGCCAAGTGGGGATTTGAACCTTGCCTCTAACTACTACACAACACTGCCTCAGCACTGCCTGATAGACACATTTTTGCAAAGCTATCTCCTCTAACATTAAGCATTTTTGGAATTTATTTTTTAGCCAAATGCACGCAGCTTTCTGCATGTTACGTGGCTGGAGAACTGTGCTTTCGAAATACAGAGGACTACAAAATTCAAAGGTAAGAAAGTTCACGTTTATGCATGAGCTGGACTGAATTTCTGCCCCAGCCCTCCTGCTGTTTTTGGAATAACACCCTTGTTCTAGTTTGGTCTTGAGAAAGGGGCTCTACCCATTCATCTTAATAGCCTGGGCTACAGACCTTCTGGGTACCTGCCTGAATCCACACTCTTTTCCTCCAGGTGGTTAATGTCATCCGAAGGTGAGGCTGATCAGATTAGATCCACAAACCGCTTCTGCAGTTGGTCGGCTGCCACAGGAGGCTGACAATGTAATTAATTCCGCCAGTGATAAGAACACAGCCGTGGAAATTCGTTAAGAGGAGGTGTGGATTAACCTCCCCCTTTCACTCTGCTCTTTGCACCTATGGGATGGAACATGATGCAATGACTTTAAGCTGGCTTTGCAAACACGACTCTGCAGAATTGACGGGGACGGCTGTGGCCGTGGTGATTTTCTCTTCCAAGCAGCTATTTAGGAGCTTGTTTAACAACAGGCTTCTCAGCTGCGCATCGCGCTACGGTCTTGCCCTTTGCATGGACACAGGGCCGGATTTAGGTTTGATAAGGCCCTAAGCTACTGAAGGTAATGGGGCCCTTTATATGTCCTGCTGTCCTTTGTCAACAACAAATTGTCGCTGTTCTTTGTGTTGAATATATGCTATATGGTAATTTATGGAACTAACAGGTATCTCCCGCAGTTGAAGACAGGAGTGCCTGGCATGCTCTGGTCCATGGGGTCACAAAGAGTCGGACACGCCTAAACGACTGATTTTGTTTAGTCGTTTAGGCGTGTCCGACTCTTCATGACCCCATGGACCAGAGCATGTCAGGCACTCCTGTCTTCCACTGCCTCCCGCAGTTTGGTCAAACTCATGCTGGTAGCTTCGAGAACACTGTCCAACCATCTAGTCCTCTGTCGTCCCCTTCTCCTTGTGCCCTCCATCTTTCCCAACATCAGGGTCTTTTCCAGGGAGTCTTCTCATGAGGTGGCCAAAGTATTGGAGCCTCAGCTTCATGATCTGTCCTTCCAGTGAGCACTCAGGGCTGATTTCCTTAAGAAGGGAGAGGTTTGATCTTCTTGCAGGCCATGGGACTCTCAAGAGTCTCCTCCAGCACCATAATTCAAAAGCAGACTAAACAACTAAACAACAACAAATAGGAATCTAAAGCCATTTGCACATGTTGCCTTGCAACCAGTCCATGCAGAATGTAGGCACCCTATATATAGAAATGAGCAAACCAGTGATATTTTAGGGAGCAGGCTAGCAGGCGGGGTCCATTCCTTACATCATAGGAGCCTACACAACGCAAAACACTGTTGCTGTATGTAGGTTTTATTTTATTTGTTTTTTATCTTATATTTTGGGAATGTACGTCCAGATTTTTTCCCTTTAATTTTTTTGGGGACCCCCAAGAGAGTGGGGCCCTGAGCTAGAGCTTGTTTAGCTTATACGTAAATCCGGCACTGCATAGACACACCCTCCGTGCTGGAGCAGACCCGTGAAATAAATGCCTACCTCGGCTCAGCAACGCCTGAATGCAGATTCTCATTTCCAGGACTCCCAGACTCCTGAAAGCAACAGCACCTGCCTTCCTACTTCAGACTTTTGGGACTGTAGGGTCTGCAATGTGCTTGTGTGGCAGTGGGAGGGGGTGGGTAGGAAATGTGAACCCGCCCCCCCAATTCCAGATTCTCATCCCTTTCTTCTTCCAGGTGGATGTGAATGCACTCCCTCAACTCAAGAGAGAACAAAGGTCTGGGCTTCCACAGTCAGCCTGGATAGCTCAGCTGGTTAGAGCGTGGTGCTGGTAATGCCAAGGTTGCGGGTTCGATCCCCGTATGGGACAACTGCATTTGCCTGTCTTTGCAGGGGGTTGGACTAGATGATCCTCAAGGTCCCTTTCAATCAGCATCCCCTAGATCTGGGGTTGCCATATTGTGCCCTCAGATGCCCCCTTGGCACCCAGCAAGACCTCCTGATTCCCCACTTTTAATAAAAGTTTTGGCGACTCCCTCATCATTTTTTGACAGTGTTTTGTTTGGGGGTGTGTAGGTGTTTTGCCAGGTTTTTTTGGGGGGCCCCCACATAATTCTAAGAAAGAAAGTCCTTTTTTGTGCAGTTAAACAATGGAATCCACTTTCATGGGAGGCAGTGACAGCCACCAAAGTAGAAGGTTTTAAAAGAGGATTGGATGAATGCAAGAAAGAGGCAGAGGTGTAGGATGGTCAGGTGGCACCTGGTGTGGAAAATTTCTCTCCCCCCCCATTGATTTATTTATTTTTTGGCCTGCAAAAATGGTTTTACGTTATTTCATATTTTCTTACAAAGGAATCATCATCATCTTTTATTTATATCCTGCCCTCTCTGGCTGAAGTCGGGCTCAGGGCCGCTAACATCAGATACATAACATTGGTATAAAATCAAACAATAATTAAACTACCTCCTAAAAACATGTCAAAATCAAATTAGAGTCTAATTAGGTGGCTTTCTGCAGGGTTAGGGTCAGGAACAGTAAGTGCTCCGTTGAAGTGAAATCTCAGCCTTCACAACATAGGAAAACGTCCAAGTCAACAGCTGTTTTCGTGGAAGAGGGTCAAGATATTCACTGATATGCATGAAATTTCACATACAGCTACAGTGGTGCCCCGCAAGACGAATGCCTCGCAAGACGAAAAACTCGCTAGACGAAAGGGTTTTGCGGTTTTTGAGCTGCTTCGCAAGACGAATTTCCCTATGGGCTTGCTTCGCAAGACGAAAACGTCTTGCGTTTTTTGCAAGTTTGTTTCCTTTTTCTTAACACCGTTAATACAGTTGCGACTTGACTTCGAGGAGCAACTCATAGAATGCGGTGTGGTAGCCTTTTTTTTAGGTTTTTGGTGATTTTTGAAGCTTTTCCAAAACTTTTCCGACACCGTGCTTTGCAAGACGAAAAATTCGCTAGACGAAAAAACTTGCGGAACGAATTAATTTCGTCTTGCGAGGCACCACTGTATATAATTCCTAGTGTAGTAAGATAAGACCTTTGGAGCAGGCATTTGCAAAAAAAGAGAGAGTTTTTTATGAACAGCCCTAGTACGGCAGTAATTGTTCCTTGATACCTTGTCACACCCCCTCCATGATGGCACCTGGGGCTGACCGCCCCCCGCCCCTTCCTACGCCCCCCTTCCTACGCCCCTCAGGGTCCCTTCCAACTCTGTGATAAGATCAGCATCCCCTAGATCTGGGGTTGCCTATGTTGTGCCCTCAGATACCCCCTTGGCACCCAGCAAGACCACCTGACTCCCCACTTTTAATGCAAGTTTTGGTGACCCCCCTCTTCATTTTTTTTATTGTGTTTTTTTTTTTGGGTGTGTGTAGGTGTTTTGCCAGTTTTTGGGGGGGGGCACATGATTCTGAGAAAAAAAGTGCTTTTTTGTGCAATCCACTCTCACGGGAGGCAGTGGTGGCCTTGTGATAGGAATTTTGAGGTCTTAGATATATGGTAATGTTCATAACCGCACGTACATAGATCAGCACAGGAAGACCGACCTGAAGCCATTTTTGATTCCCAGACTGACCAAATGCTTTCTCTGCAAGGTCAAAGTGGGAAACCTCCCCATTGTCTCTTTCCTCACAAATCCTGTCTTAAGGGCATATTTAAGATATGAATAGGGTGTGAGCCTGTGACCTGGCTCAGGAACCAAGTATTTATCATTACAAAAGACTGGCCAGGCTCCCCAGGCAATCCAATCAAGTGACCATTAAACAGGTAACCTGGCAGACAGGAGGTAAACAAAGCACTCAGATTTCTGCTGTAGACAGCCTTTTCTGTGATGTAGGTATGATGTTTCTGGGGGTGGTCTTGGACTCCAGAGAAGGCAATTTAAAAATGTCTATATAAGGGCAGGCACACCTTTGTTCTGGATCCTCCTCCTTTCCTGTGTGTGAGGGGAGCACCTGTTGCAACAGTTCAATAAAGATCAAGCTTACTAGCTGCTTTGCTTCTCAATATTTTCTGCTTGGCCTCTGTTATTTTCTCCTACCAATAGGAAACCTACGTAAGTACTCTATATGAAACGGATTATAGAGATGAGGTGGAGCGGCTGACAGAGTGGTGCAGAGCTAACAACTTGCTCATAAATACAAGGAGACAAAGGAGCTTGTGGTGGACTTCAGGAGACAGAAGAGCAACGTCCAGCCACTTTTGATTGATGGGGTCTGTGTGGAGAGGGTAACAACGTTCAGATTTTTGGGCATTGAATTACAAGAGGATCTGTCCTGGAGTGTCAACACAAGGGGGCTTGTGAAGAAGGCGCAGCAGAGACTGTACTTTTTGAGAATGCTAAGGAAAAACCATCTTCCGCAGAAACTGCTGCTTGCCTTCTATCACTGTGCCATTGAGAGCGTGCTCACTTATGGCTTATGTGTGTGGTACGGAAGCTGTACTACCCAGGACAGGATGGGGTTGTGCAGGGTTGTTAAGGCAGCAGAGAGCATTGTTGGCTGCCCACTCTCCACCTTAGAGCAGATTTATGCCACAAGGTGCCATAGGAAGGCACTGGACATAGTAAAAGATCCATCGCATCCTGGTCACTGTCTCTTCGAGCTCTTGCCGTCGGGACGGAGATACAGGACGATGAAGACAAGAACGAGCCATCTTAAGAACAGCTTCTTCTCCAGAGCGATCTCGGCCCTGAATGGGAAGCCCGGACTTTGAAAGTCATCTAATCTCCCTTGCTGTATTATACTGTATTGATTAATTAGTGTTTTTATGGAGCAGTCAAGTAATTTCGTTGTCCCCGAAGGGGGCAATGACAATAAAGATATTATTATTATTATTATTATTATTATTATTATTATTTGGGCTCTTGGATGCCCCATAAGGGAAAAGGGCAGATTTTGTTTACAACAGTCACAGCCTCCAAAGTAGAAGGCTTTAAAAGAGGATTGCATGAATTCATGGAGGAGGAGAGCGCTACCAGTGGCTATTAGGCATGATGACTGTGCCTCCACAGTTGGCTTCTGAATACCAGTTGCTGGAAACTGCAGGAGGTGAGAGTTGGTCTTGCGTTCGAATCCTGCTTGCAGGTTACCCACAGGTTGGCAACTGTGGGACTAGGATAGTGGCCTGGATGGACCTGATTAAGCAGACTCTATCACCAGTTTTTCTTCTGCGTAAAGGTTATTTTTGTGTGCCTCTGGCAGCTTCTCAAATATCCATATGTGCCCCTCAGCCCCAAATAGATTGGAGATGAAATCCCCATCCTAATTATATCGTAATAATATACATATTTTAAAAAACCAGAAGCATTTTTACTTGGTATTATAGGTCAGGACATTAACAGGCAAGATGTTAAATTGTTTTTATATGCAACAACTGTGGCAAGAGCATTGTTAGCCCAGAAATGGAAACAAGAAGAAATTCTGACGAAAGAAGAATGGCAGACGAAATTAATGGACTATGCAGAATTGGACAAAATGACAGGAAGGATTCGAAACCTGCGGGACCAGAAATTTACAGAAGATTGGAAGAAGTATATGAATTATTTGAAGAGCAACTGTAATCAAGAAATTACGCTAGTAGGACTACAAGAAGTTTTGTAAGGAGAAATATACGAAGTGTTACAAAGTAGAAAAAGATAGAGATATTGGTTATGAGTTTGAAATGTAATAGGGAAGATAAGAAATGCATACTGAGAGATTAGACTGGAAAATTTTCAGACAGGATTGATGGAAGTCAAAAATTTGAATAAGATGTAAAAGTATGTTTAATTATTGTTGAAAATGATATGTTAAAAAAACTAATAAAAAATTATATACAGTGGTACCTCGGGTTACATACGCTTCAGGTTACACACTCTGCTAACCCAGAAATAGTGCTTCAAGTTAAGAACTTTGCTTCAGGATGAGAACAGAAATCGTGCTCTGGCGGCGCAGTGGCAGCAAGAGGCCCCATTAGCTAAAGTGGAGCTTCAGGTTAAGAACAGTTTCAGGTTAAGAACGGACCTCCGGAACGAATCAAGTACTTAACCCGAGGTACCACTGTATATATATAAAAAAGAAAGAAACCCCCATCCTAAATGTCCAAGGGAAAATGGAAGAATCCCAATAGTGTCTTTGCATCCAATGTGCAAACCAATTGTGTGTGTGTGTGTGTGTGTGTGTGTGTGTGTGTGTGTGTGTACAGAATCAGATCCATCTGCAGCTTCCAATCTCCAGTCTCCTCCCAACACCTTTTCCTTGTTTCACTGGAAAATCCAATTTTTGGAGCCTGGCTGGCAAAGAGGAGACTTGGGGAGGGCTGGAGAAGGAAAAGGATCGAGGGTCAAAGCAACCAAGCTCTCTTTGTGCTGAGTTAGGGATGAAATCCGAGATCTGTGGACATTTGGTGACACTTTGCAGGAAATATTTGTGGGAATCAAAGCTCACTGGCTTCCTCCCATCTCTGCTCCTGGTGTTTCTGCCCATGTTCATGCTTAGCAGCAAGGAGAGGCTTTTATGCAAGGAGCAAAGAGTCTCGAATTAGAGAGCTCAGCCCCAGAGCATTTCCTGGCTGACCTACAGAAGCAGCTCATGCAGCACAAAGGTTGAGAGTAAGGGAGGCAGCTAAAATTAGACGCACTGCCAGGTTAAACTGAGAACTAGCCCTTCATGGCCTAGGACCCTCGTACCTACGGGAACGCCTCTCCTGGTATGCCCCGTAGAGGACATTGAGGTCCATAAATAGGAATACTCTAGAGGTCCCGGGCCCTAAGGAAGTCAGATTAGCCTCAACCAGGGCCAGGGCCTTTTCAACAACAACAACAACAACTAGTACCAGTAGGTCATTCTGACCGGTGGGGTTGCCCACACACCAGCCTCCCAGTTCATTTGGGCAGGGATTGACTGCACGCCATCCAAACCAACAGGTTCAAATGACAAGGAAAGGGATTTTGTCTAGACTTTAGGAGGAACTCTCTGGTGGTATTAGAGGGACGGGGGTGGCGCTGTGGGTTAAACCACAGAGCCTAGGACTTGCCGATCAGAAGGTCGGCGGTTCGAATCCCTGCGACGGGGTGAGCTCCCATTGCTCGGTCCCTGCTCCTGCCAACCTAGCAGTTCGAAAGCACGAAGTGCAAGTAGATAAATAGGTACTGCTCTGGCGGGAAGGTAAACGGTGTTTTCGTGTGCTGCTCTGGTTCGCCAGAAGCGGCTTAGTCATGCTGGCCACATGACCCAGAAGCTGTACGCCAGCTCCCTCGGCCAATAAAGCGAGATGAGCGTCGCAACCCCAGAGTCGGTCACGACTGGACCTAATGGTCAGGGGTACCTTTACCTCTGGTGGTATTGGCTGTTTGACAGAGGAGCAGCCTGCAATACAAGGTGCAGGATCCCTTGGAAGTGGGTTGGGACAAATTACCTTTGAGGTACCTTCCAAGTGCACGGTTTTAGCTTCCCATTGGGGTGGGGCATTTAAAAAGAAAGAAAGAAAGAAAACATAGATAAACAAATCAGGTTTGTTTTATTTTCTCATGTGATGCACATCCATTTTCCACATTTCATTCACATTTACATGCTTGACTAAAAACAAACAATTAAAAAAGCTATTTTTTAAAATATAAAAAGGCAGGGGGAACCCACACATTTGGAAAAACAGCCTTCTTGCTGCTTAAACCACACACATTTTATACAGTGGTGCAAATGAGATTTGATTGTCCCTTTCCACCAACCATTTCCCCCTGGAAAGCTACAATTTGCTTGGTGGGCGGCAGGGAGCAGAGATACATATTGCTGCCTTTCCCTCCTCAAGTAAAAGGGATGACATATTGTTTCCGTGGTAAACACATAATCTGTTGAGCAAAGTTGGATTATTTTAAAAGTTCAAGCAAGCTGCGACGTTCAAATGACATGCAAACGTCGTCAGCGAGTGGAAGTGTGTGTGACCTTGTCTATGCACACGAAACACCTGTGGAACTCCCTGCAGGTTTGTCCATAAGCAAAGCTTCTCATTCAAGAAGCAAATGCCCTATCCCCTTGGGAGCAAATTGTTTGCCCTAACGACTTGAGTGCAAGGGGCTCTGAAGAAATTCCAGTTTGCCATGAGGAGAAGACACTCCCTGCAATGCAATATTCGCAACGGGAAGTCACTTATCTGCACTGCTGTGGTCGATTTCCCCGTTACAAAGATGCACAGGTATTTGCGCTGCCAATAGACGCAAACAACATCGAGGGAATCAGAGGGCGAGAGATGTCTGGTTTAGTAGGACTTGAGAAAACAAACGCTTCTCCGATGGTCCCCAGAGTCTTGGGTGGCTTATTCTAGAAGTCCAGGTCGTCTTGATCAATCGCCTCTGAGCTCGCCTCCTTTTTAGGGACTGGGCTGCTTCCGCCTTTGCTCTTGCCAGTTTTGGGTTTCTTCTTTGCCTGAGGGGATGCCTGGTCTTCTTCTTCCTCTCCCTCTTCCTCTTCCTCCTCCTCTTCTTCACTATCTGGGTACATCTTTGCGGGTTTGGCCTCTGTGTCGCCTTCTGCCTCTCCATCCTCACCACCACCACCACCACCACCGTCCTCCAATTCCTTACAGTCTTCTTCTTCTTCGCCACTCCCCTCCTCAGACCCTTTCTGTGATTGCTGGGAACAATTCCCCATAGAGGAGAAGGCAGAACTTTTTCTCTGGGTCTCTGCCCCCTCGGTGGCTCCTTCTTCCGTTTCTCTGGGGTCTTCACTGCCACCATCCTGCACAGGTTCGCTGCCCTCGGCTGCCTCTGCTTCCTCGCCATTCGCCTCTGCTTCGTTTTCTCCTGCTTCTTCCACTTCTGTCTCTGGCTTGGCATCGCCCTCATCCTCTTCTGCACCGTCTGCCGGAGGCTGTTCCTCCGCTTCTGCTGGTGCCTCAGAGACCTCGCCATCGTCAACATTTGCTGCACATTCAGGTTTGTTATCTCCTTCAGCTGCCTCTGGATCGGCTGCCGCACCATCAGTTTCATCTTCCGTTTTAGGTTCCTCTGCAGCTTCTTCTTCTTCTTCGTCTACTGCCTCTTCTTCCTCATTCATTTCCCCCTCTCCTTCACTTTTGGCTCCCACTTCCTCATCTTCTTCTTCCATTGCAACCTCCTTTCCCTCCTCTTGTTCCTCTGCTTCCACTTCCTCTCCCCCTTCTTCCTCTTCCCTTCCCTCTCCTTCCTTTTCTCCTTCCCCTTCTCCTTCCCCTTCCTCCTCCTTTTCTTCTACTTCCTCCCCGTTTTCTTCTTCTTCCTCCTCCCCCTTTTCTTCTACTTCCTCTTCCTCCTCTCCCTTTTCTTCTACTTCCTCCTCATTTTCTTCTACTTCTGTTCCCTTTTCTTCTTCTGCTTGCTCCTCCTTTTCTTCTACTTCTTCCTTTTCCTCTGCTTCCTCCTCCCCCTTTTCTTCTGCTGCTTCCTCCTCCTTTTCTTCATCTACTTCCTCTTCCTCCTCCCCTTTTTCCTCTGCTTCCTCCTCCCCCTTTTCTTCTACTTCCTCTCCCTTTTCTTCTTCTACTTCTTCTTCTTCCTCCCCCTTTTCTTCTACTTCCTCCCCGTTTTCTTCTTCTGCTTCCTCCTCCTTTTCCTCATCTACTTCCTCTTCCTCCTCCCCCTTTTCTTCTACTTCCTCATTTTCTTCTACTTCCTCCCCCTTTTCTTCTTCTTCTTCCTCTTCCTCCTCCCCCTTTTCTTCTACTTCCTCTCCCGTTTCTTCTTCTGCTTCCTCTTCTACTTCCTCTTCCCCCTTTTCTCCTACTTCCTCCTCTCCCTCTCCTCCTTCCTCCATTGCTTCTTCTTGTGCTTCCTCGCCTACTTCTTCGTTCACAGTTTCCTCCCCCTCAGCTTCCTCACAGTTCTGATTTTCTTCCTCTCCATCTGCTGGGGCTTCTACTGCTTCACCTTCGGTCACTTCCTGCTCTACTTCTTCCACATCAGCCAACACTTCCTGCTCTGCCTCAGCTTCATTGGCCTCCCCTTCTGCTTCCTCTTCTGCAATGTCTTCTTCTGCCTTGCCTCTCTGCATCCTCAAGATTTGCTGTAGGTCAAAGGCCTTCACAATGGGGGCATTGGCTGCCACCACCGGCCCTCGTGACCACAGGGCTTTGGCCTCCATTTTCTTCTGGAAGCAGGCATCGCAAGGGCAGTACTCCTCTTCCCCAGGGGGGTCACTTATATCATCTCTGATGGTCGTACTGAAAAAATCTAATTCCTCATCTAATTCCCTTGTCTCGCGCGGCTTGCTGCGGTCATTGTAGAGGGACATTTTGTGAATGCTCTGCAAACGGCGCCTTCGGTTTTCCACTTGCAGGATGGAAGAATCGCGGCGCAGCTGCTCGTCCGGAGGCCTCGGGACCATCTTGCCCGCCCTGCTTCTGATTTTCCCTAACTCTTTCTCAATGCTCTTTTGGATCCTCCGACTCACTTCCTCTTTCAGCTGTGCAATCATCAAGTCCAACTCCTCACTATTTGGCAAGTTCCACTTCACCTTGAAATCATTCATGGCGCTGACATAGTGAGCCATGAATTCCTTCTCGATCTTCTTCAAAAGCTTTAGCACCCAAACCGGGTCGGGGTCGATAGATTTCTGTGGGGTGACGAGGGAAGCTTTTGCTGTGGGTTGGCGAGAAACTATGTTGCTGGAGACTGTATCAGCTTCTGACTCATCCACCAGCTGTTTTTCGACACTCTCTTGGGGTTCGCTCTTATTTGTGTTTGGATCGGGTTCAGCTTGACTGTTGCTTGGCTCTTCAGCATTCTCTTGGTTGTTGCTTGGCTCTTCAGCTTCTTCAACATTCTCTTGATCATCGCTTGGCTCTTCAGCCGCTTCAACATTCTCTTGATCGTCGCTTGGCTCTTCCACAACTTCAACATTCTCTTGATCATCGCTTGGCTCTTCAGCCACTTCATCAAGATTCTCTTGATCATCGCTTGGCTCTTCAGCCACTTCAACATTCTCTTGGTCATCGCTTGGCTCTTCAGCCACTTCAACATTCTCTTGATCATCGCTTGGCTCTTCAGCCGCTTCAACATTCTCTTGGTCATCGCTTGGCTCTTCAGCCTCTTCAACATTCTCTTGATCATCGCTTGGCTCTTCAGCCGCTTCAACATTCTCTTGATCATCGCTTGGCTCTTCAGCCACTTCAACATTCTCTTGGTCATTGCTTGGCTCTTCAGCCTCTTCAACATTCTCTTGATCATCGCTTGGCTCTTCAGCCGCTTCAACATTCTCTTGATCATCGCTTGGCTCTTCAGCCTCTTCAACATTCTCTTGATCATCGCTTGGCTCTTCAGCTGCTTCAACATTCTCTTGGTCATCGCTTGGCTCTTCAGCCGCTTCAGCACCATTCTCTTGATTGTTGCTTGGCTCTTCATCAGCTTCATCAGCGTTCTCTTGACTGGGACTCTCTTCTACTTCCTGGATGGCGGGGTCCTCTTGGGTCTGCTCAACAGGGTCTGCATCAGCCTCATCAGCTTCTGCCTGCTCCACCTCAATATCTTCCATTTCTTCTTCTCCAACAACTTCTTTATCTCCCTCCTCCTCCTCGCCAACGTCACTGCCCTGGTTCTCATTGGTTTCTGTCACGTCCTCTCCTCCGGTAGAGGCTGCCTTTTCTTCTCCTTCAGATTTTAAGCAAGGCTGGGAATGCTCCTCTTCCTCTTCCTCACTACAGCCTCCCTCTTCCTCTGCCTCCTCTTTCACCTCTTCTTTGGTGGGTTTGGCTCCGTTCGTTTTCTCTGGCGACAAGGCACAGTCTCGGGCACCAGCAACGCTCCCCTCTCCTGAGCCTCCATCGCCACTGCTCACATCCACTCCAGAAGAGGACAAGGGTGTGAAGTCGCCATCTTTACGGTCCTTGAAAGTAGAGGGCACTTTTTCAGGGGCCTCTCCTTGGAGGCCTGAGCTCGTGCCCCCTTTCTCTGACGCGCACCCAAACCAGAGAGCCTGGAAGATGTTCAAGAGCTCAGTGTACCTTGGCCTGTTCAGGCACTTGCTGGACTTGCTTGAGGGGTCCAGCTCTTCGTCAAGGATCTGCAAGCTAGCCAGGCACGTGATCAGAATGTTTGCCGAGTTGCTGAGCTTTCTGCCCATCGTAGGGGAGACTTCGGGCAAGCTGTGTGAACGGTCCAGCTTGGCTTCTTGCTTGGAAGCCAAGAGCGCCTTCATGATCTGCACAGAGGTCTGGATGGTGCTGGGCAAGTCCTTTTTGTGGTTGTTCTGGCTGGAGATGACAGAGTGGTTGCATTCTGCTTGGCCTGCCTTAGCCTCTTCTGACACCGCTTTGGAAGCTGCCTCGTCATTGAGATCCTCAACGGCCCCCTCCTCAGCTGCCTCCTCGGCTGCCACTTCTTCTTCTTCTTCTTCCTCCTCCTCTTCTTTTTTTCCTTCTGACTCCTCTCCCAACGATTCCTGGTTGTTTGAGCAACTGGGCATTTCAGCATCCAGTTCTGTGCCATCTCCGTCATCCTGCATCTCACATTTCATCAGCAGAGTCTCTGAGGGAATCTTCCTCAACCACTCGTGCACGACTTCTTCTGGAGAGGCGTTGGGAAGAGAAGAAGGGATGATGTCCTCATCGCCTTCCACCTCAGCCTCTCCTGCCTCTTTTTGCAGCGCTTCAGAAGGATCCCCTGGCCCGTTCTCCTCCTCCATTTCAGTGGGCTGCGAATGGGCTGCTTCCTCTTCCTCCTTGCTCGCAGTGGCGCTGGCGTTGTTCGATTTCTTCTTCAGCACCGCAGACCGACTTTTTTTGCCACTCGGCCTCCCTTTCGGGGGAGCTGGGCAGTGCAAACTGTACATGGACGCAGACTCCGACGCCAAAGCTTGACTAGAGCGTTCCGCGTTGGAATGGAGGCTGCTTTTCTTCTTCCTCGGCTTCGAGGGCTGCGCCACGCTCGACTGCGAGCCAGCATGCTCGCTCCTCCCTGACGCCTCTGTCTCTGTGCATTTACTCTCCGAACGGGAAGACACAATCGACTGGATGCTCCCAAGGCCCTTGTTTCTCGTTGCTGCCGTGCAGCCGCATTTGGAGCACGTGGATTCGAACACGCTCCCCGGCCTTGATGCCTTGTCGGTTCCATTTTTCCCATTGGAATTGGAGAAACTGGAGCCAGGAGATGATTCCTTGCTGGAGGAATCTGGCTGGCCGCCCTCCTGGATGCTCTTGGAGGACTGGCTGCAATGCCCGGAAGAGCTACTTTCACTCTCCACGTTGCCGGCGGGAGGTGCCGCTGCTTCGCTTAAGGACGACACGTTGGAACGAGGAGAGCTTGAGTCGTGAGATGCATGGCATTCTCCCTCTCTTCCTTCCATCTCTGGGGAGCTTTTGGAGTAGCAAGAGGCCCTGCTGCTCGACCGTGCATCTTCTGCATGCAGAGACCTTTTTGTCCTCTTTTTCTTGATGGTGGACACCCTGGAGACTTTGGCGTCTGCCTCTTGGTGACTGTGGCTGTGCTTGCTCCTCCTGGAGGAAGAGGAAGCTGCTGCACTGCACACCTGCGTTTCGTTGCTGTCTTCTCTCTGGCTATTCCCATCGCAAGCTTTGGAACGGAAGGACCGTTCTGTGGAGCACCTCCCGCACTCGCTGACGTCATCCCTGACCGATTGGTTGGACGCCACATTTTCCAAGGCGGAATGAACTTCGCTCGTCTCCTCTTGTTCCTTGTCCGCCTCTTCCTCCACGGAGAACGAAGAGATTGGCTGAGCGTCTTCTGAAGGCTCATCTGGGTCGTCCCTTGTCTCAGGTGTTGTCCGCTGAATGGATTGGCTGTAGGCGCTCTTTGGAGAGGACGGGCAGCTGGCCTCTTCCAGTTCAACCTCTTCCCTCGCCTTGATGCTTCGGGATGAGATGGTCCTCACCACGCTGCTGCTCTCCTCGCACACTTTGATCTGGCTTTCCGCGGAACAGTGAGACGATTTCGACCCGCTGCTCCCCGCCCTGCTGCTGTTGCCCTCCGTTCCTTCTGCGGTCGCCGTGGAATTGTCCTCATTTTGGGAATTGGCTAAGCAAGCTGCGGAATGCATTTCCACAGGTGACCCCCTTTTGCTCGTATTGCTCTGGCCGTGTCGACAACGGCATTTTTGCACCGCACGGTATTCTACCCTGTTCTCTACAGTCTCCGAGTAGCAAGAGGATTCCTGTACGACATGCTTGGAATATTCTTCTCCGCTGGACGAGGTGCGGCTGCTCTCAACAGAGGCCGTCTTCTTGCGGACGACCCTACGGTGGGACGACGTGCTTGAGCAAGAAGAGTGGGTGTACCAAGTGTTCTTGACCCATGGCTCCTCTTTCTGGGAAGCATGCATGGGGTTCTTCCAAATGTCATACTCTTTGCATGGCTTGCCACAATTGTGGCAACACGCCTCCTCATTTTCGGACACGTCAAGGTTCGAGATGTAAGAATCGGCATCGCAGGGGTATAATGAGTCGTCCACCTCGGAGCTGACCTCTGGGTTCTCTTTCTCTGCGGGGTCAGTTCCATTGTCTTCGTCTATGCCCATCTCTTCACAGGACACCTTGCCCCTCAGACTGGACTTCTGGATATGTGTGGACCACTGGAGCGTCTCGTCGTTGAGCAGGCGGAAGCGGACTTTCATCTCAACGGACAGGCTGCCATCTTTGTTCACGTGCACCCTCTTCTCGATGTCATCGTTGACCAAGGAATGAACCAGGTTGCCCGCTTTGGAGTGCGGGCAGTGGCTCAAGCAGGGGGCGCCATTCTCCGGCGATGTCACGAGGCCGTTTGGATAGGATTTTTCCGACGACAAAGAGAATCTCGCGGAGCGATTGCTCAAGGCTGACCGCGGGTGGATCACACTCTTCTTGGCTTTCAGTCCAAAGTTCACTGGAGTTTGAAGGAGATGGGGGTGTTGAGGAAACACAAAAAGGGAAATTGTAAGGAATTATGCCAAGCATACAGCGACACTTAGAACAGTAAACTGGGAGCTCAGTGATATTGTTATTATTATTGGCTCCCAGTACGTTTCCAAGCACAATTTAAAGTGTTGGTGCTGACCTTTCAAGCCCTAAACGGCCTCGGTCCTGTATACCTGAAGGAGCATGTCCACCCCCATTGTTCTACCCGAACACTGAGGTCCAGCACCGAGGGCCTTCTGGTGGTTCCCTCACTGCGAGAAGCCAAGTTACAGGGAACCAGGCAGAGGGCCTTCTTGGTAGTGGCCCCCGCCCTGTGGAACGCCCTCCCACCAGATATCAAAGAGAAGAACAACTACCAGACTTTTAGAAGACATCTGAAGGCAGCCCTGTTTAGGGAAGCTTTTAATGTTTAACAGACCACTGTATTTTAATACTTTGTTGGAAGCTGCCCAGAGTAGCTGGGGAAACCCAGCCAGATGGGCGGGGTATAAATTATTATTATTATTAATAATAATAATAATAATTACCTGCCCTTTGCCATAAGGTCCCAAGGTGGCTTACAACATCAAAACAACATCAAAAACAAATCAAAACAACCCACAGCATAAATATAAGGTGGGTCCTTAAAACATATGCCTCAGGTGTTAAAAGCCAAGGTACAGAGGTTGCTGCTGCTGCTGCTGTTTTATGACCTGTCTGGCACTTAGGAATCTGCAACATCTTCAAAGCCCTATGGCTGTTTGCAAAGGGCTTTTAAGGCAGCCCCTCCCCTCCTGACACAAGAGCCTCAAGTGGGAGCAGGGGGAGGCCCTTTGCAAAAGGGCTCTTTGAAACAGCCAGCCCTTTCAACACCACTCAAGCAACATTTAGAGGAGGAGGCAGGCTGCTTCCTAATGTGCTCGGCAAAACCACTGTTTAATGCAGCCTCCCTGCTTTAAACATTCCCCCAAGTTCCCATCTGAGCTACAGAATTGCCATAAAAATTATTATTATTTAGCTGTGATTCCTGCATTGCAGGGGTTTGGATTAAATGCCCCTCTGGGCCAACCCTGCAATTCATTATACGTATAATTCATTATACGGTCCTGATACTTACTGCTCCAAAATATAACAAATAAAGCACATCTGTATATTTCGCAGTATGTTAATGTTCTCTCGTGCTTTATTAATCCATTTTTTAAAAAATAAACCATTTTTTAAAAAAATAAACCATTCTTCTTGCATTGGAACATTATCCCCCCCCCCCATTTTTTGAAATACCGTATTTTTCCATGTATAACACGCCCCTGTGTATAAGACGCCCCTTATTTTTGGGGGCTCAAAATTAAGAAAATGGGGGGGGGGAGAGATTGCCCCGTGTATAAGATGACCCCAATTTTTCTCCATTATTTTAACGTAAAAAAACCCCTAGTCTTATACATGGGAAAGTATGGTACTTTTTATTTTTGGCAGCAGGAAGCAGATTTACCAGTTCTTCTCAATCTGTTTCCAGGACTAAATGCTTCAAACAACCCAGTATTAGTAATTCTGCTGGTAATAAAATATAATAATAATTATATATATATATATATATATATATATATAAAAAAAATCCCATGTGCTTCAGAGATCGAGCATGACCAAAATATAGGTCTAAAATCTGCTCAATGTTGAATGCAATTGATTTAGTCTCTGTTGTGTTAATTACCACTGTTACTGAATTGTTCCCTTAAGCCTCCAAAGCAGATTTGAGGAGGAATCATAGAATAGAATCATAGAATCATAGAATCATAGAGTTGGAAGAGACCACAAGGGCCATCGAGTCCAACCCCCTGCCAAGCAGGAAACACCATCAGAGCACTCCTGACATATGGTTGTCAAGCCTCTGCTTAAAGACCTCCAAAGAAGGAGACTCCACCACACTCCTTGGCAGCAAATTCCACGGAGGAGATGAACAGGAAGTCCTTTTTAAACAGGTGGAGGTACTTGTGCCAACTTCCGCTTCCCCATCCCTTCTTTACTGAACCTGCAGAACAGTGGCCTGTTGGAAGACCAGGAGGTTGAGCCCCCTGGCACCTGCCCATCGAGAAAAACTGAAAGACCTAAACTTCCCTAAACAGAGTTGCCTTCAGATGTCTCCTAAAAGTCAGGTATGTCTCCTAAAAGTCAGGCAGAGGGCCTTCTCGGTAGTGGCACCCGCCCTGTGGAATGCCTTCCCATCAGATGTGAAGGAAATAAACATTTCCTTCACATCTGATGGGAGGGCATTCCACAGGGTGGGTGCCACCACTGAGAAGGCCCTCTGCCTGGTTCCCTGTAACCTCACTTCTCGCAGTGAGGGAACTGCCAGAAGGCCCTCGGAGCTGGACCTCAGTGTTTGGGCAGAACAATGGGGGTGGAGACGCTGCTTCAGGTATACATATTGCGTTCTTGTACAAGGTAAAAGGTAAAGGTACCCCTGCCCGTACGGGCCAGTTGTGACCAACTCTAGGGTTGTGCGCTCATCTCGCTTAAGAGGCCGGGAGCCGGTGCCGTCCGAAGACACTTCCAGGTCACGTGGCCAGCGTGACGAAGCTGCAACTGGCGAGCCAGCACCAGCGCTGCACACGGAAACGCAGTTTATCTTCCCGCTAGAAAGTGGTTCCTATTTATCTACTTGCACTTAATGGTGCTTTCGAACTGCTAGGTGGGCAGGAGCAGGGACCGAGCAACGGGAGCTCACCCCGCCACGGGGATTCGAACGGCCGACCTTACGATCAGCAAGTCCTAGGCACTGAGGTTTTACCCACAGCGCCACTCACGTCCGTTCTTGTAGTTTTAATGCATTTTATTTTGTACTCATCCATTCACCTCTTTGGGGGCCCTCGTGGAAAGAAGCGATATATAAATAAACCAATCAATGAATGAACTGTGATTTAAGGTATTTTTCTATCAGGTTTGATAGTGGTTTGGCCCCATCCATTGCCAGTCCTTCCCCCAATTCCTTACAATGGCAACTTCTTTATCTTCCAGCCCCCAAAATATTGTTGCTGGCACCTGTCTGTCTCACGAGACAATGGAATATGCCTCCGGGGGTGAAGTCAAACTGCTGCATTAATTTGTCTGCTGGTTGTTAATTTAAATAGCACCTCACATTTGCTATCTCCCTGTATATTTTCATGCTTTCTTCATGAGCAGAATACAGCTTCCCTGATCCCAAAATACTGAAATAGGCGGGCTGGTTTGCCACCCATAACACTTGTGGTCTCATCAAATAACTTGGCTACATTTTGTCCATTCGTTAAATCCTTAATTGTGTTTGAACCAGATTGGTATCACCCTTTTACGTTGCCCAACATGCTAGTAGTATAAACTAAAAATTCATTATAAAAATAAATGTTGATAGCTCTGTGCATACAGTATTTTTTGTTTAAATTATTTTCTCTAAAGTGGCGGATATTGGCAATGTATTTCTCTCCACTGCTCTTCCTGATATCACGTTAGCATGTAAACAAACGGAATTCATTTCAGCCAGGATAAGTTAAATGGAACCTCCATGGTCAGGCACAGTGTACCTTGGCTTGCCAGATGCTGGAATATAACCAAGCGTTTCCCAAGCCATCTGAGTGGCCGCTGTCTGCAGTCTGAATTCAGACCTACATGGATCCTCCTTCTGATCCAGGAAGGCCACCCAGATTTTGTCACCCCACCCTGAGACCTTTGGATGGGGTGGGTGATCAATACGTTTTCCAGAAAAAGAACAAACTGCTTCCAAACCACCAACCCAAATCCAGCCCCCTGCCCTCTTTCTTACTTTCGTGGTTTTCTCCAACGTTGCCTCTGCTGTTGGACTGTGAAGGTAGACCGGGCAGCTTCTCTGAGGAGGGCTTCCGGGGGTTTTCCACCACGATAGGTTTGAAGGGCTCTCTCCCCACACAGACGAGGACATTGGGGCAGTGCAGCAGAGCTTGCATGTTGTCAATCTGGAGGGGAGGCAAGCACAGCAGACGTCAAAACTGGACTTATCTTACACATCACTTGGGAAGACAGGTGAGCTAATGCCAGTGTACTGGAAGAAGCAAAGATCATCAATGAGAGAGCCAGTGTGGTGTAGTGGTTAAGAGCGTTAGACTTGTAATCTGGGGAACCGGGTTCGCGTCTCCGCTCCTCCACATGCAGCTGCTGGGTGACCTTGGGCCAGTCACACTTCTCTGAAGTCTCTCAGCCCCACTCACCTCACAGAGTGTTTGTTGTGGGGGAAGAAGGGAAAGGAGAATGTTAGCTGCTTTGAGACTCCTTCGGGTAGTGATAAAGCGGGATATCAAATCCAAACTCTTCTTCAATGTCGAAGCAATGGTTCTTCAACATCAACTTGGTTGGACTGGTCATGTTGTGCAGGTGATCATCTTCCAAAGCAACTACTCTATTCTGAACTTAAAAATGGAAAGCGCAATGCTGGTGGTCAACAAGAGAGGTTCAAAACTCTCTCAAGGCAAATCTTTAAAAATGTAGTATAAACACTGACAACTGGGAAACGCTGGCCTGTGAGCGCTCCAGTTGGAGAACAGCCTCTACCAAAGGTGTCATAGGCTTTGAAGACACTCAAACTCAGGACGCAAGGGAGAAATGTGCTAAGAGGAAGGAAATGTGCTAAGAGGAAATTGCGGGCAGCATTTGAAATCTGAGCAACGGGAAGAAAATGATAATATATGAAATAGAGGACGGTGTATTAGATTAAACAGGTGATACAGTGGACGCTTGGGTTGTGAACGTGATCCATGCAGGAGGCATGTTCGCAACCCGCAGCGACGCGTCTGCGCATATGCGGGTTGAGATTTGGCACTTCTGCACATGCGCAAAGCACGATTTAGCACTTCTGCGCATGGTTGACCCCCAACACCCGGAAGTAACCCGTTCCAGTACTTCTGGGTTTCAGCGGGTCCGTAACCTGAAAAAATGCAAACTGAAGCGTCTGTAACCCGAGGTTTGACTGTATTATGCAGTATGTAAAAGGGATGGGTTTACAAACAGCATAGAAGGAAAGGTCAGAAATCAAATCATAAGAGAAATGTATAAGAAACTTGAAATTAATTGGTTAAAGTTATGGAAACCTGATAAAAATTTCAGCACGAGGTGTCCCGAATTGTTTAGGGTTTTGCACACTAGCTTAGGAACCCTGAATCTGGCCTACTAGCAGATGGGAAGCCCAGGCCTCACAGAGGAACCCCAACAAGGAGCCTGAAGTTCCCATGGTCAAAGTCTCAAAGTCATGGGTCTTCTGCCATAATGTTGCCCAGCATAACTGAGAACTGCCTTCCCCACCCACCTGTTCTCAGGCTAATCATAGAATCATAGAAATGTGGAAGTGGAAAGGACTACAAGTCCAACCCCATGAGATGCAGGAATCTTTTTGCCCGATATGGGGCTCAAATCCACAGCCCTGAGTGAGCTATCCCACTTGGGATAACTCCAAGGGGGTTTAAATTCCCAAACATCACAGAGAAAGGAAAGGATTACAGTGGTATCTTGGTTCTCAAACGCCTTGGTACTCAAACAACTTGGAATCCAAACACTGCAAACCCAGAAGTAAGTGTTCCGGTTTGCGAATATTTTTCGGAAGCCAAACATGCTCCGTTTTGAGTGCCACGCTTCCGTTTTGAGTGCCACAGTTCGGTTTTGAGTGTTACGCTGAGATTGGTCTGCTTTTGCTATTTATTTTGCATTTTTGTTTTTGCAGCTCTTTTTTGTTTTGTTTTAGCGACTGTGTGGAGCCTAGTTCAGCTACTGATTGATTGATTGTGCAACTGCAGTACACTGGTACCTCGGGTTAAGTACTTAATTCGTTCCGGAGGTCCGTTCTTAACCTGAAACTGTTCTTAACCTGAAACACCACTTTAGCTAATGGGGCCTTCTGCTGCTGCTGCGCCGCCGGAACACAATTTCTGTTCTCATCCTGAAGCAAAGTTCTTAACCAGAGGTACTATTTCTGGGATAGCGGAGTCTGTAACCTGAAGCGTCTGTAACCTGAAGCGTATGTAACCTGAAGCGTATTTAACCCGAGGTACCACTGTACATTGTTTACTGCTTTCATTTTATGCATCAATGGTCTCGTTAGATAGTAAAATTCATGTTAAATTGCTGTTTTAGGGGTTGTTTTTAAAAGTCTGGAACAGATTACTTTCTATGGGAAAGCGTGCTTTGGTTTTGGAATGCTTTGGTTTTGGAACGGACTTCCAGAACGGATTAAGTTTGAGAACCAAGGTACCACTGTAGTTGCAATTCCTGCATTGACCCTTGGGATCCCTCCCAATTCTACAATTCTCTGTTTATCTTATTCTATTACTAGCTTTCTTACAGTCCCAAGTCCAATTCCCCTCCTATTTCAGAGGCTTTTATGGATTGGTTATTGATTATGCCCCACGGAGGACCTTAAGGTCCATAAATAGCAACACCCTAGTGGTCCCTGGCCCTAAGTAAGTCAGATTAGCCTCAACCAGAGCCAGGGCCTTTTCAACACTGGCTCCCGCCTGGTGGAACGCTCTGTCTCATGAGACCAGGGCCCTGCAGGATCTGATTTCTTTCCTCAGGGCCTGTAAGACAGAGTTGTTCTGCCTGGCCTTTGGCTTGGAATCAACTTGATCCCCTCCCCCTCTTTCCTTTTTCCTTTCTCCATCTGTGATGAAACTCCTATTTGGGGACCTTTTTCTGGCTTTTTTTCTTGTCCACGTAGGACCAGTCTGGATAGTTAGCCTTGGTGAAGACTTGACGTTTTCATCCCCACCAAAGTTTCTGATTTGAGTTTCCATTGAAATGAGGCTGTATTTTAATATTTCAATGTTGTATTTTAATCTTGTTTTTAAGTTGTGTTTCAATCAATTGTTTTTATACCTGGTGTCAGCCGCCCTGAGCCCGGTCTTGGCTGGGGAGGGCGGGGTATAAATAAAATTTATTATTGTTGTTGTTATTGTTATTATTATGTCACTCTGGATATTTTGTATATCTGGGGCGAGGAGAAAAAACTTGCCCTCCTGAGGGCCAGACATCCATCTGGGGCCACATCACAGTGGCGAGCAGGGCCAGAAGCAAAAGAGAGCCAGTTTAGTGTTAGTGGTTAGAGTGTCCGAGTAGGACCTGGGAGGCTGGGGTTCAAATCTCCATTTGGCTATGAAACCCACTGGGGTATTTAAGGTCAATCATTGCCTCTCTGCCCAGCCTCTCTCGGAGGGTTGTTGAGGGGATTAAATGAAAAGGGTGGGATACAAATGCAATGAAATCAATCAATCAATCAATCAATCAATCAATCATCATAATAATAATAATAAGTTGGTGGAACAATGAATGTAAATGCTATCTCTGTGCCATAGCATACTTTCTGCACATTCCCTGGCTACCAGGAAGAAGTACTAAAAATAAATACAGTGGTACCTCGGTTTTCAAACGTAATCTCTTCTGGAAGACCGTTTGAGTTCCGAAAGGTTTGAAAACCAAAGCATTTACTTCTGGAAGCATTCACTTATGGAAAACTCAATATGGAAGCCGCGTGGCACGTTCGACTTCCGAAAAGTGTTCGAAAGCCGAAGCATTTACTTCTGGGTTAACAGCGTTTGAAAACCAAAACATTCGTCAATGGAGATGTTCGAAAACTGAGGTACCACGGTACACCTGATTTGCCCCTGAGCTACAAAGCAGAAAATCCTCATTCAAAGCTTATCTTTGCCAGCATATTGTTGTGTAGGGCCTCGGCAAGCCATTGCTCTTTCCCTCAGTTCTCAGCTCACCATCTACCATTTGCAAATGGCGAGGGGAGGACTTTCCCCCCCAGCTGGAACTCTGTTCTGGCACGTGTCAGGTGGGCGCCATTGCCATTAGGGATCCATAAGCAAACCAAAGAACATCTGTCCTTCAAAACTGGCACTTATACAGATGTTGTGCTGAGGTTTTCCACCCTGAACCATGCATGAAAATGCAGGCGTTCGTGAAAATGATGTACAAAACGACATTACGTTAGGGGAAACACTGAAAAGTCCTTGCTGCTGGAATACAAGAGGCTCCATCAACATTGGCATTCCCTCGGCCGCTGAAGTTAGATACCAGTCTAGGCAAGCAATTCTCCAGAACTTGTTGATGTAATTGTATTAAAACAGTTTTAACTGTTTATTTTATTGTCTGTCTGCCTATCTATCTATCTATTTCAGGGGTGGCCAACTCCCAAGAGACTGCGATCTACTTACAGAATTAAAAACTGGCAGTGATTTACCCCCGTTTTTTGGGGGAGCGGGACCGTATTCAATTTTAACGCCGCTAAGGGAAGGGAAGATTGCGATCGACCTGTTGGATGTCCCTGATCTATAAACTGATTGTAAAAAAGCCAACAACCCTCAAAGGACTTTTAAAAAAAGATAAAACAATAGTCAGAAAAATCAACAACAATCATTTCAAATGTTCAAAAAGTTTAAATAACAATAGATAAAACAGATTATAACTTGCATCAACTTTCTAAACATCTGGGTAGCCTTCTCTAAACAAGAATGTTTTTAGCAGGCACCGAAAAGGGTATCACTTTAATTATTATTATTATTATTATTATTATTATTATTATTATTATTCTGTTGGGAGCTGGAGAAACCCAGCCATATGGGTGGGGTAATAATAATAATAATAATGTTTTTATGTTATTTTCTATTTTAATTCTGTTTTGATTTTATAGCTGTAAACCAGCCATTTGGGGCATTCGACTCCTTCAGCCATATACCAAAGCAGAGTGCAAGCAGCTGATATTAGCCAGATCTGGAAATGGTTTTCATTGTCAAATTCTGTGTTAATGCAGTCAAAATAGTGTGGCTACAAGTGATTGCCAAAGAGAAGAGGAAGAGGAAGAGGAAGAGGAAGAAGAAGAAGAAGGAGGAGGAGGAGGAGGAGGAAGAGGAGGAAAAAAAGTGATATTCTAGGCTGCATCAACAGAGGTCTAGTGTCCAGATTATGATACTGCTCTATTCTGCCCTGGTTAGACCACACCTGGAATAATGTGTCCACTTCTGGGCACTGCAGATTAAGAAGGATATTGACAATAATTCTATGACAAGCTGGAACATGTACAAATGAGGACAACCAAGATGATCAAGGGTCTGGAAACCAAGCCTCATGAGGAGCAGTTGAGGGTGATGGGTATGCTGATACTTTGAGTAGGAAACGAATTAATGGATTTTAATTACAAGAAAGGCGATTCTGAGTCAACATCTGGGAAAACTAGATACTCTTGGGGTCCCTTCCGTCTCTACAATTCTATGGGTCAATTCTGTGACCCACTGAGATTTACTACTCAACCGAGCAAAGAGATAAATAGGCCCTTTGTTGTTTAGTCGTTTGGTCGTGTTCGACTCTTCATGGCCCCATGGACCAGAGCACGCCAGGCACTCCCGTCTTCCACTGCCTCCCGCAGTTTGGTCAAACTCATGCTGGTAGCTTCAAGAACACTATCCAACCATCTCGTTCTCTGTCATCCCCTTCTCCTTGTGCCCTCCATCTCTCCCAACATCAGGGTCTTTTCCAGGGAGTCTTCTCTTCTCATGAGGTGGCCAAAGTATTGGAGCCTCAGCTTCAGGATCTGTCCTTCCAGTGAGCACTCAGGGCTGATTTCCTTCAGAATGGAGAGGTTTGATCTTCTTGCAGTCCATGGGACTCTCAAGAGTCTCCTCCAGCACCATAATTCAAAAGCATCAATTCTTCGGCGATCAGCCTTCTTTATGGTCCAGCTCTCACTTCCATACATCACTACTGGGAAAACCATAGCTTTTACTATACGGACCTTTTACTATACGTCTTCCCTATTTTACAAGCACCGGAAAGGAACATTCCAAGATTCTGTGACTGTTGGGATTGCGGGGGAAACGGCTCTTGGGAAGTGAGCTCAGGAGAGGAGTTGGGAAGCTGGACGAAGGAGAAAGGAAGAGGAGGTGAGTTGAAAAGTAGAAGGTAAATGTCAATATAAGCTGTGCTCGTGTGAACACATTGACAAGCCCATCACAAGGGAAGCTGTGGCCTTCCAGATCTTGCTGGCTCCATCTCCCATCAGCTGGCACAGACCGCCATAAAGGCAGTTGTTTTCTAGTACCATCTGGAGAACCTTTGATTTTCCCCGTCTCCAGATGTCTTTGGGGTCCTGTTGCGTTCTCAGCAAAGGGGAGGAGATAAACTGAGAAGCAAACAAGAAGGTATGCTCTCCTTGAAGGACCAAATACACACAGAGACTCTTGTCAAATGTAGAAAGAAGAGGCATGGAAGGTCAGGATTGTATCCACTGGTTTAGCCACTGACCTCCATGTCTTCTGGGTCCCATATCTGCCAGGCAGGGCTGGCACAAGAAATTTTGGCACCTGAATCGAATCACAAAATGGCGGCTCTCTCCCAACCAGGAAAGAAGACGGGGGAAATAAACATCTAACTCAGGATCTGCTGCCCCTGTGAATCTTGCCACCTTGACGCCAGGCCTTCTGTTCTGACACAAACTGATTTAAGCGTCAGTGTCATGTGAAAGATGGACTTAGTTTACATTCACGCCATTTCGTTTTGTTTCACTTTTAATTTTTATACCGCCTTTCTATATTACTATGCACAAGGCAGTTCACAAGCGGAAAAAGCAACAAAATATAAAACGCCGCTCATCTTATAGCAATCTGATCCAATACGAATAAATCGTAATAAAAATATGACTTAATGTAAACAACTTTTATCAAATGAAGTAATATCCAGTAATCCATTAAAATATACCCAATAAAATTAACCCACAACATATCAACACATAATTGAACAGAAATTCACTCTCGACAATTACAATAGATCGTTATTAATTTATAATCAATAAAAACAACCACAAAATTACAATAATAAAATATCCCAATGCATTTTTTAAAAACCATGTAAAAAGACTGAATTGAGCAAGAAGGTTACATAGCTTATAAAATTATTTTTTAAAAAAAAGATTAAGCACATTTAAAGCACTTCAAATAGTCATGGCTTCCCACAAAGAATTATGGGAGCTGTAGTTTCTTAAGGTTTCTGAGAAATGCTAGGAGTCCCCCATTCCCTTCATGGAGAGGTTTTACAATCAACACCTCCTCACAGGGAACTCTGGAAACTGTAGCTTTGGGAGTGAAATAGGAGAACCTTAATGATTCTCAGCAGTACCCTTAACAAACTACAGCTCCCAGAATTCTTTGGGAGAAGCCCTGAATGTTTAAAGTGGTATCACGGCACTTTAAATGCAAGGTGTGAATATGACCTCAGAGTGGGGAGAGCTGGATTCAAATTCTCACTTTGGTCCAAAGCTTACTGAGTGACTGGCTCCTTTTTCCTTCCCTCCCTCCTCTGATGAACCTCTCGCGTCTCTGCCTCCCAAAGGCTTGCACAGCTGTTTGTTGCAGCAGCCCTGGCCACAAGCTCCGCAGGCGAATGGTGCCTCTGGGGCTGGTCAGGGAGTGCTGGGTGCCAGGAACAGAGGCAGCCTCGGAGTAAGCAAGCAAGCAGGTGTGGGAACCCAGTCAGCCAGTCTGCCAGCCCTTGCTTTTGGGATGGACAGACAAGTCACAGGCTTCAGTGGTGCAATTTGAGGAGGCATCTCTCTTTGGGTCAGGAGGGGTAACTCAGAGACCAGGGGCAGCAGCAGCGGCTGCCCAGAAGACTCCCAAGGAAGAGGGGAGAGGAGGCTGAGGGAACCCTCCACCAGGGAGGGTGTTCGAAAAAGGGTGAGAGGCTGCCAGCTCTGCAGGCAAGGGGTGCCGCAACTGGGCCCCTGAGCCCCTCAGGGGGGCCGCAGAAAGAATGCAAGTGGTCAAGGGAGCCGAGGACTCAAAAAGGTTGAAAACCTCTGGCCTTAATCAATCTCACAAAGTTGCTTTAAGGACAAAATTGGGGAGGGGGAGGAAGAGAGCAGCAAGACAAAATTCAATTGCTCATTAATTGCCCATTTATTCAAAATCCAGTTTAAACTACAGTGGACGCTCGGCTTGCGAACGTGATCCGTGCGGGATGCATGTTCACAACCCACAGCGGCGCGTCTGTGCATGCACAGGTTTGCAATTTGGCACTTCTGTGCATGCGCAAAGCGCAATTTAGCACTTCTGCACATGCGTGACCGCCGAAACCTGGAAATAACCTGTTCCAGTACTTCCAGGTTTTGGCGGTCCATAACCCGAAATCTGTCCGTACCAGGGACGCGGGTGGCACTGTGAGCTAAACCACAGAGCCTAGGACTTGCTGATCAGAAGGTTGGCGGTTTGAATCCCTGTGACGGGGTGAGCTCCCGTTGCTCGGTCCCTGCTCCTGCCAACCTAGCAGTTCGAAAGCACATCAATGTGCAAGTAGATAAATAGGTACCACTCTGGCAGGAAGGTAAACGGCATTTCCATGCGCTGCTCTGGTTCGCCAGAAGCGGCTTAGTCCTGCTGGCCACATGACCCGGAAGCTGTACGCCAGCTCCCTCGGCCAATAAAGCAAGATGAGCGGCGCAACCCCAGAGTCGGTCACAACTGGACCTAATGGTCAGGGGTCCCTTTACCTTTACATTTAACCCAAAAAAACGCAACCTGAAGCATCTGTAACCCGAGGTATGACTGTATTCAGTTTAATTAGTTCAACAAAATGGAAGAACTTGATCCACTGATACCAGCTTTTCAAACTGGTGGTAATTTACACTTCCAGCACCTCCCTGCCACTCTGCTGCAACTTAGCACCCTCCCCCCGGCCATCCCATTGCCCCCCCCCTCCAGGAAGCACTACCACCCACTCTGAGAACCACTGGTCGATCAGCTCAGCTTCTGCCTGGTTCTAGTAGAGAAACCATCAAGCTTTTCTTGGACTGCTTGGACTTCCATCATGCCGCAATTTGCACCCTGCACTTTTGAGCGTGTAGCGTACACATGCTTTGGACCAAAGCATCCAAGTCAGGCTATTATTCTATGAAGTGCTCTGTGACACAAAGACTCATCCACTCTCTCATATGACGTTAACATATGAGAGTGTGCTGGAAGTGAAATAGTTAAACAGGTTACCCTATCAGAACCCAGGGGGGTGGAGTCAGAGGGACTATAAAACCAGCTCTGGGAGGAGTTTGTTGGGAGTTGGGTGGTTGGTTGGAGTGGGAGTGAAGTGGGATAGAGTCTGTGGGTAGGTTGAGTGAGTGTGGCGAAATAAGTTGAGTCAGGAACAGTTAGGAGCTAGGAAGACAAGTAAATATCTGAGAGGTGGTTTAGTGAGTGAGAGCAGGTAGCGGAAGTTATAGGTCTGGATAGGCACCCCATGATTGTAATGGACTGATACCGTTTATGAAACCACACGCTTGTTAAACTGCAATAAATAAACAGAAGTTTATGTTCCAACTTAACCTGACTGGACTCAGTATTGTCCCAGGTAGGGCCTGGGTGGTGGCAGCGAGAAATAAAGTGGTGGCACAGGGATCAATAGACGGTGAAACATCCAGGGACCCTGTATGATCGCTACAGAAAAGTCCTCCCCCTGGGGATTATCATTCTCTTCTCCAGAATGGAGTGATTCAGTATTTTCACCAATTAATTAAATAAGAGAATTTTACTTTCAAGACTGTTCCTCCTGGCTTGGCTTTTCAAGACCCTGGTCCCCAAAGTATAGCTTTAGGTTTTTGCCTCTAACCTTTCAAGCTTACCGTATTTTTCTTTCTATAAGATGCACCAGACCACAAGACGCACCTAGTTTTTGGAGGAGGAAAACAAGAAAAAATAATATTCTGAATCTCAGAAGCCAGAACAGCAAGAGGGATCGCTGCACAGTGAAAGCAGCAATCCCTCTTGCTGTTCTGGCTTCTGGGATAGCTGCGCAGCCTGCATTTGCTCCGTAAGACGCACACACATTTCCCCTTACTTTTTAGGAGGGAAAAAGTGAGTCTTATAGAGCAAAAAATACGGTACTTCCACCGGTCCTGAGCCTAAGCCTCTGCCAGACAGTCTTTTCAGATCTCTTGCTCTTATTGTTATCTGGGCCTCACGGCAATCTGGGGTTTATCCTCAGTCCCACCCTCTGCGCCACAAAGACTCACCCTCTTCCCGTCCAACGTGTACAGCTTCTTCACCGTGAACTGCATGATCTCCGAAATCTCGTCCAAGAGAGTCTTGAAGCTCCGCGCGTTCCTGCGGTTGAGGATTATCGGCCGCCTGGTGCCCACATCCCCGTTCTTAACCAGAGTGACTTTCTTGGGTATCCGCGGACTCTGCTGGGCAAAAGCGGCCGAGTGGTCTTCGCGCTTGATCTCTTGGGCCGCCCTACGCAACGCGCTGGCCGGCTGGCCGACCTTCTGAGGAGCTGCTCTCCGGCTGGCGGGACCAATACTGATGGGTGTGACGTATTTCTTATCGGAGCACAGGTAACACCCTCCGTCCTCCAGCTGGTCCAGGGTGCTGATGCAGTGTATCCCTCGCGGCGTCGTGATGGTCCTCACCCCGAAAGGCAGCGGGACCCTGTGGGAGAGGTCGTCCATCAGGGCGTTGAAGCTCTTGAAGCTGCGCTGGTTGATGGCCATCTTGACCCCTCCAAACTGAGGGTCCCCGCTCTTGTAAAATGTTATCTTCTTGGCAGGGGCGACCTGGGTGAAGGCATTGGTCCGAGCCACGGGGGGAAGGGGCTGTTCATAGTTATAGGGGCTGGCGGCGGAAAGGGAGTCAGCGGGTTCCTGCGTCATCCTGGCGAACGTTTAGAGGTAACTGCAAGGTGAGAACAAGAGGTGTCTATGAATCTAATAATAATAATAATAATAATAAATTTTATTTTATTTTTAATTTATTGGATTTTCCACAATAATAACAAAAACCACAAAGCAGAATATCACACAAAAACAGAAAACAGAAAAAAGGGGGGAAGAAAGAAAAATACATCAATGAACAAAAGAAAGAAAAAGGAACAATAAACAGATAAACAATAACAACAAACTTAATTCTTTACAAATCCAACCTTTTAAACATCTTGGTTGACTTCCTCTAGTCCAGGGGTCTGCAACCCGCGGCTCCGGAGCTGCATGTGGCTCTTTTACACCTTTGCCGCGGCTTCGGGGCGGATACTAGCGAGGGGAAGAGGCGCATTGTGCGCCCCGACACTCCCCACTGTGGCGGGCGCTGTACTGGCTGTGACGTCGCATGGGGGCAGTGCGTGCGTTAGTCACGCACCGTCCCGACATCACCTTCCCGCCCGCCCGCCCGCTACATTGAAAGGGGGCATGTACGCTGGTTACTGTTTTGAAGGGGAGTGAAGAACACACACACACACACACACAAAGGTAACTTGTTAATTTAATGTTTATTTCTATGAGGAGGAGTAATTCTGAGGGGTCAAACAAAGAAATAATAACAAAAAGTGACAATAAAGTTATTTTTATAATGACGAGTTTTGCGGCTCCCAGTTTTTTTTTCTTCGGAAATGGGTCCAAGCGGCTCTTTTTGTCTTAAAGGTTGCAGACCCCTGCTCTAGTCCCTCCCTTCTGAATTTCCTTGTAGTTGAAAGTAACAGCTTTCCAATATCATTATTGAACTAAAACAATTTCCAGTTATAGTCCATCTTATTCACATTTCTTAATATTCTAAATCCCATTTATTTAATTATAACTTAGTTTAATCCAAGGCCTATTTGTTTCTTTTAAGTAATTTCTAATTTTTTATAATAATAAATTTTATTTATACCCCGCCCTCCCCAGCAAAGACCAGGCTCAGGGCGGCTAACACCAGGTATAAAAACAATTGATTAAAATACAGCTTAAAAGCAAGATTAAAATACAACATTAAAATGCAGCCTCATTTCAGTAGAAACTCAAATCAAAAACTTTTGGGGGATGAAAATGTCAAATCTTCACCAAGGCTAACTATCCAGACTGGTCCTACGTGGGCCAGAAAAAAGCCAGGGAAGTCCGCAAATAGGGGTTCCATCACAGAAGGAGAAAGGAAAAAGGAAAGAGGGGGAGGGGATCAAGTTGATTCCAAGCCAAAGGCCAGGTGGAACAACTCCATCTTATAGGCCCTGCGGAAAGAAATCAGATCCCGCAGGGCCCTGGTCTCATGAGACAGAGCGTTCCACCAGACCGGAGCCAGTGTTGAAAAGGCCCTGGCCCTGATTGAGGCTAATCTGACTTCCTTAGGACCCGGGACCTCTAGGGTGTTGCTATTTATGGACCTTAAGGTCCTCTGTGGGGCATACTGGGAGAGGCGGTTCTGTAGGTACCAGGGTCCTATGGTTTATATTTGCTAAAACACACGTACACACACACACACGGGTCAATTAGTGCCAGGAGCGAGGCAGCAGTAAATCTCACTCTGCAAAGAGAAGTTAACTCTTTATTCACAAGAACACCATCTGCACAGACCAGGCAGAGTGGCAGGGCTAATGAGAACAGCCGCTCATCCCCACTAGGTCTTGCCCCATAGATCAGTTGCAAAGACTGAAAGTTACCCCAAAATCATTTAAGTTCCCTTCTTTCCTGGGTCCCCCCCCCAAGCAATCCGGGACTGTGCCTGCATGAAGCCAACCTCTCCTCTGCCCCTTTCACACCTCTACTGGTTCTGGGAGCTTGTTGCAGCAGGAGGGGAAGAAACCTGTGATTTTGCACCGGCCTGACTCCTTTCTGCCTCTTGGCCTCCTTAATCCCCTGCTTTACCTTCTGCCTCTGATTCTGGACTACTCTCTGCCACAGACTCTCCCAGCTCACTAAGCCCTGTTTGCTCTTCAGCTTCCGACACCTTTTCTTCCCAGTCTTCTCCCTCTGACCACTCGTTGTCATCCCCACCACCACTCCCTGGACTCTGAGCCCCCTTCCCTTGGGGGTGCCCCATTTGGGTATGGAGTTAAGTGGTCTGAGGGAGTTCTTGGGACCAGAGGAAGAGACATGGAGGGCCGTATTTGGCCCCTGAGATCCCCTCCACGCATGTCCTCATGCAACCAGTTACTCTCTTGCCAAGTTAGGCAGAACACCTGCTCTAAGAGTTTCCAGAGTGGCTGTTTGACAACTCTCCCAGCGGAGGGCATCCCATTTTGAGGCTGCTATTTCTCCTTGCTCCTGCCTTGAACCCTGATATCTCACCATTGGCTTGATGGATCAAAGCAAAGCACTCTGCCATTCAATTTGGCAGCACTGTACATTTTTAAAGCGGCAAAGCAAAATTAATTTTCCCAAGCTGGAGAGTAACTTTGGTCTGATCCAGACCTTGCACCGTTGCTTTCCCCCCAGGAAAACCTGATCTCTACTGCTGAATTGGAGCAAGTGCCAATCAGGTTTTCTCCAGATTGACGTTTGATCCGATTTATTGCTAAAGGGTGGGTTTTCTGGGGGAGAGCAGTGGGGCGAAAGCAAAATCTTGGACCTGAGCTTTCCATCTGATCAGGTATGCTAACGATTTCTAATTCACCTTGCTCATTGTTTTGCTTTCTAATTAGGCCATTAACTTGATGGTTTGGTCCCTATTGGCAGTCGAATAAGACTTGAGCTGAGCCGACCGTTAAGCATACAACAATTCAATATATTATGGTCCATGTTAATGCATTTACAGTCAGCATACATTTTAAATTAAGTAAATGGTTGTGCTTTACTTCAACCAAGCATGGGGCAGGTTGGGGCAGGGACCTGAACTGGAGCCTAATTTCCCATTTCTAGATTTTTCAAAATTTGTTTATTCTTTCTTGTTTAACAGGTTTATATACTGCTTAATCAACGGAAACCTCTACAGTGGTACCTCGGGTAAAGAACTTAATTCGTTCCGGAGGTCTGTTCTTAACCTGAAACTGTTCTTAACCTGAAGCACCACTTTAGCTAATGGGGCCTCCTGCTGCCGCTGCACTGCTGCTGCGCGATTTCTGTTCTCATCCTGAAGCAAAGTTCTTAACCCGAGGTACTATTTCTGGGTTAGCGGAGTCTGTAACCTGAAGCGTATGTAACCTGAAGCGTATGTAACCCGAGATACCACTGTACTCAGTTTTTCATAAAACAATACAAACTGTTCATATAAAAAAAATCAGCGCTACAAACAAGTAGGCATAAAAATACGAAAAATATAGATAAAACTATCAGTTTAAAAACAAGAATACACAATAGTGTGGCATGACTGGTTAGGCTTTCTGAAACAAGAACGTTTTTAGCAGTTGGTGAAAACAATACAGTGCAGGTTTTTGGCATCAATTGGCAGGGAGTTCCACAGAGTAGAGGCTGCCATGCTAAAGAATCAATTTCTTGCAAGAGTGGCTCTATCTTCACTGTGCATTTAAAGCAGCACTGTGCCACTTTATTTAAAGCCACGACTATTAATAGCTTTCCCAAAAAGAATCCAGGGAAATGTAGTTTTTTAAGGGTGCTGGGAGTTTTTAGGAGACTCCTCATATTCCCTGCTCAGGGCCACAATTCCCAGAGTGGTTTATCCATTATTATTATTATTATTATTATTATTATTATTACTCCGCTCATCTGGCTAGGTTGGTCCAGCCACTCTGGGAGGCTTCCAACATATATAAAAACATAACATAATAAAACATTACACATTAAAAAACTGCCTTCAGGTGTCTTCTAAAGGTTACATAGTTACTCCTTAACATCTGATGGGTGGGCGTTCCACAAGGTGGGTGCCACTACCAAGAAGGCCCTCTGCCTGGTTCCCTCTTCCCAGGAAACCTCCAGCATGTGGTTAGGATGGGGCTAAGGGGTTTTGTCAAAGCCTTCTTGGAAAATAGAGGAGCTTAGGAGAAGAATATGAAGAGAGGGGGCTCAAGGAAATAAGAGATAAATCAAAAGGTGAAACATAAAAGCCTGAATGTTATCATTAAATCTGTGCTTCACGATTCTGGACTCTGCCCTTCTGTGGTCCTCAAGCCACAGCCAGCGTTAGTGTGTGTGTGTGTGGGGGGGAGTGTCAGGTATTTACAGATTGCTGAAGAGCGAAACCACATGGCTTCCTGCCACCATCTTAGGAATTTCAGAATCTGTCTCACAGAAAGTCAAGTCCTTGATCCAACCAACCCAATATTTTCTACACCAGAGGCTCTCAGTATGCGACTGGCAAGCACCCAGAATAGGCACCAACTCTTAAAGGTAAAGGTAAAGGTACCCCTGCCCGTACAGGCCAGTCGTGTCTGACTCTAGGGTTGTGCGCCCATCTCACTTAAGAGGCCGGGGGCCAGCGCTGTCCGGAGACACTTACGGGTCATGTGGCCAGCGTGACAAAGCCGCATCTGGCGAGCCAGCGCAGCACACGGAAATGCCGTTTACCTTCCCACCAGTAAGCGGTCCTTATTTATCTACTTGCACCCGGGGGTGCTTTCGAACTGCTAGGTTGGCAGGCGCTGGGACCGAGCAACGGGAGCGCACCCCGCCGCGGGAATTCGAACTGCCGACCTTTCGATCGGCAAGCCCTAGGCGCTGAGGCTTTTACCCACAGCGCCACCCGCGTCCCTGCACCAACTCTTAGGGACACCCTAAAATGTTTGAGGGCGGCCACCCCACCCAAAAAAAGTTTGGTGGGCCCCTCAATATTTTATTCATTTTGGCACCCCTGCCACCCACAAGTCTCGTTCAGGTGATCGGTGGGAAAGGCTGCAAAACTGCCGGGAAGAATATGTGCTTTTTCTGACGACAGAGATCACGGTTTGTTTTGACAGGGGCCAGATAGGCTAGCAAAGCCCTAGCTGACAGCTTGGGGTTTTCAGTCCAAATCCAGTAACGGATGCTGAAAACCGACCCGGAGCTAATGCTGAAAAAAAGGTTGTGCCCGTTTTCACAGAACTTTCCTTGCAAAAACAAGCGCATCCATTGCATTAGAAAGCACGGAGAGGGTCAAGGGTGCTGCCTAGCCTTTTGGGGGCTCGTCGAAAACCAGGAAGCCGTTCTTTACAATAATAATTAAACATGGTAAGCGTAACGCTGGTGGTCAACAAAAGAGGTTCAAAGACTCTCTCAAGGCAAATCTTTTAAAATGTAGTATAAAAACCAACAACTGGGAAACACTGGCCTGTGAGCGTTCCAGTTGGAGAACAACCTTTACCAAAGGTGTAATGGGCTTTGAAGATGCTCAAACTCAGGATGTAAAGGAGAAATGTGCTAAGAGGAAGGCACGCTTGGCAAACCCTCACCATGAACAACTCCTGCCCGGAAACCAATGTCCCCAACGTGGAAAGACTTGTGGATCCAGAATTGGCCTCCACAGTCACTTACGGACTCACTGTTAACACCATGTTCATGGAAGACAATCTTACTCAGCTACGAGTGATAGCATAATAATACAGTGGTACCTCGGGTTACATACGCTTCAGGTTACAGATGTTTCAGGTTACAGACTCCGCTAACCCAGAAATATTACCTCGGGTTAAGAACTTTGCTTTAAGAACAGAAATCACCCGATGGCAGCACAGCGGCAGTGGGAGGCCCCATTAGCTAAAGTGGTGCTTCAGGTTAAGAACTGTTTCACGTTAAGAACGGACCTCTGGAACGTATTAAGTACTTAACCCGAGGTACCACTGTAATAATAATAATAATAATAATAATAATAATAATAATAATAAATCGTGCCCCAGCCACTCTGAGTGACTTCCAGCCTATACAGAAACATAATAAAACACCAAACATTGAAAACCTCCCTATTCAGTGTCTTCTAAAGGTTGCATAGTTAACTTATCTCCTTGACATCTGATGGGAGGGCTTTCCACAGGGTGGGCGCCACTACCGAGAAGGCCCTTTGCCTGGTTCCCACAGGTATCCCTCTCCCCCAGAACCAAGATGGGTTGGTTCATCAGGAAACCCTTTGCACCTCACAACTATGTGTGTGTTTGGGGGTAGGTCAGATAAGGTCCGGGTGGGATAACGGGAGGAAAAGCCATGTCAAGGATTCTGGGGTTTGGGGGTGGGTGACTTAACAGGGGCGACAACTCAAATGCAAGACAGGCAGGCAGGTATACAACTCTGGATCGCAAGCAGGGCAAATATACGTGCCTGTACTTACACGAGTTGGCTTCATGCTGTGTTTTGGTGGTCCGCAGTGCCTCGTTCCTTTCCGCTGCCCAGTGAAGGGGCCAGCCGTTAAGTAAAATGTCCGCAGGCCCTTACGCAAGGCTGGGCTTCAAAGCCAGGGGCATTGGCACCTGCTCTGCCCTGCCGCTCGCCCTGCCCTCGAAATAACTGAGCATGCAGCTCTCAGGGTTAATCGGGACATTGCTGCTAACATTAGACAGCAAAGCCATGTAATCGCTTCGGGGAGGTATTCAAAGCCACCTTCAACTTTGGAGGCAGCTGATACTGCTGGTGCTCTCTCTCTCTCTCTCTCTCTCTCACACACACACACACACACACACACACCTTGCTCTGGTGCAGAATCAAAGAATCATAGAATTGCAGAGTTGGAAGGGACCTCCAGGGGTCATCCAGTCCAACCCCCTGCCACGCAGGAGTCACAGCTAAATCATCCTTGACTTAATTGGCGCAAATGGCAATTTGGGTTTTCCCCAGATTGCTGTTTGTTCTGGATTATCACAAAAGAGTGGGTTTTTCCCTTGGAAAGGAGCAGGGCAAGGGGGAAACTCCTCCCCCTTTCTAAGCCCAAAGTCCCATTCCGTTATCCATTTTTTAGGCGAGGCCAAGGCCAAAGAGGAAACTGCTTATTTTAAGTCCACAGCTTCTGGGCATCCTTAAGGGAAATGGCAGTCACGAGGGCCAGATTTAACACATTAAAATGACGGGTTTGTCCAATAATAATTATTATTATTTATACCCCGCCCATCTGGCTCCTGTTTAACATAGGAAAATATTTCAAATTCCCTCCACTTGGGGCAGGGAAAGAATCAAGATTCTCAAGAGTCGTACTCAAGTGGTTTATTCCTCCTCTCTCCCAATACTGCTTTTCTTTTGTTATGAGTCTTTTAGATTGTACAAATAAATGATGAAGATGATTATCATGGTAAGCCTGAAATTTGCAATTTACTCTGGGAGTTTTTTTGGCTTAAAAACTGCCAATGAGGGAAGGGAGTCTGTTCCACGGTTGAACAGTCTTACTGTCGGAAAGTCTTTCCTGAATGCAGTCATAGAGTTGGAAGGGACACCCAGAGTCATCTAGTCCAGCCCACCCGCAATACAGGAATCTTTTAGTGGGACAATGATGCGTGGTAGGAACCAGAAGACTGGGAAGGGGTAACAGTGCTTAGTGAGCAGGGAGAGTCTGTGGCAGAAAGAAGTCTAGAATCAAAGGCAGAAGCTAAAGCAGGAAAGTGGGAGGAAGGAGACCAAGAATCATAGGATTGTAGAGTTGGAAGGGACCCCAAGGGTCATCTAGTCCAACCCCCTGCAATGCAGGAATCTCAGCTGAAGCATCCATGACAGATGGCCATCCAACCTCTGTTTGAAAACCTCCAAGGAAGGAGAGTCACGCAGAGGTGAGTCAGGCTGGGGACGAGTCAAGGGTGTCTTCCCCTCCTGCTAAAACAAGCTCTCCCATCCTGTTTCCCAGAACCAGAAGAGGTCTGAAATGAGTGGAGCAGTGACCAGCTGCATGCAGGCGCAGTCTCAGTTTGGGAAAAACCTTGGAAAGGAGGGGACTTAGACGGCTGTGGCGAGGTAGGGACTTTCTTGTCTTGGCAACTGATTTCATGCAGTAAGACCCATGGGGAATGGGCTGCTGTGCTCATAAAGACCTGATGCTCATCTAAGTCTGTGAAGATCATGTTTTTGCTAATAAAGAGTTAACTCCAACTTTCAGCGGAGTGATTGACACTCGTACCTTGGATCTCGAATACCTTGGCTCCCGGACAAATCGGCTCCCGAACGATCGAAACCTGGAAGTGAGTGTTCTGGTTTTTGAATGATTTTTGAAAGCCGAATGCCTGATAGGGCTTCACTGGCTTCTGATTGGTTGCAGGAACTTCCTGCAGCCAACCGGAAGCCACACTTTGGTTTTCCAATGTTTTGGAAGTCAAACAGACTTCCGGAACGGATTCCGTTTGACTTCCAAGGTACGACTGTACTGCTGGCTCACTATTTGACATTGTACTAGTTCCTATATACAGTGGCCCACTCTATCGTCCAACCAGGCAAGGAAAAGACATTATCAGTGTTTGAGGGAGCAGTCTAGCCAGACCCGGATGACTGCATTCAGCCCCCGATTTGATTGATTAGATTTCTTTTCCGCTTTTAATTCAAATGAATTCCAAAGCGGCTTACAAACAATAAATAGCAATGGTTTGACAGCTCATAATAAGAGAACATCACGAATACCGAACAAATCGTACAGAATAATTAACATATTGCAAGAGAAACAATTGCAATCTATGAAACACTTAATGAAGCAGCAACTAAAAAATAAGCTAAACATCACAATTGAAGCAAAAGTCATATTATACAGTGGTACCTCTGGTTAAGAACTTAATTTGTTCTGGAGGCCCATTCTTAACCTGAAACTGTTCTTGATCTGAGGTACCACTTTAGCTAATAGGGCCTCCCACTGCCGCTGCACGATTTCGGTTCTCATCCTGAAGCAAAGTTCTTAACCCGAGGTACTATTTCTGGGTTAGCGGAGTCTGTAACCTGAAGCGTTTGTAACCCGAAGAGTTTGTAACCTGAGGTACCACTGTACGATTAAAAAAATACGGCATGTACGATTAAAAAAATACGGCATTTTTAATCTATAAAACAATACAGTCATACCTCATGTTACGTTTGCTTCATGTTATGTTCTTTCAGGTTACGTCCCGTGGTGACCTGGAAGTACCGGAAAGGGTTACTTCCGGGTTTTGCCGCTCGCGCATGCGCCGAAGCGCAAAATGACATCACGTGCATGCGTAGAAGCATCGAATCACAACCCGCGCGTGTGCAGACGCGCCGCTGCAGGTTGCACTCTTTTCATGTTGTGAACGGGCCCCCGGAATGGATCCCGTTCGCAACCAGAGGTACCGCTGTATCAACAACATTAGCAGAATAGCAGCCAAAAGATAAACCAAACAGTTTATGCATACATTCTCCACAACCCGTGACTCATAATCTTTCACTCTGTTCAGCTAACCACAACAACAACAACAACAACAACAGTACCCTGTCCATCTACAGTAACTGTCTGACTGGGAGCGGCCGCTGGGACCATATAACACCAGTCTTGAAAGACCTACACTGGCTCCCAGTATGTTTCCGAGCACAATTCAAAGTGTTGGTGCTGACCTTGAAAGCCCTAAACGGCCTCGGTCCAGTTAGACCTGAAGGAGCGTCTCCACCCCCATCATTCTGCCTGGACACTGAGGTCCAGCGCCGAGGGCCTTCTGGCGGTTCCCTCGCTATGAGAAGCCAAGTTACAGGGAACCAGGCAGAGGGCCTTCTCGGTAGTGGCACCCGCCCTTCTGTCAGATGTCAAAGAGAAAAACAACTACCTGACGTTTAGAAAACATCTGAAGGCAACCCTGTTCAGGGAAGTTTTTAATGTGTGACATTTTGATGTATTTTTAATTTTGGTTGGAAGTCTCCTAGAGTGGCTGGGGAAACCCAGCCAGATGGGTGGTGTACAAATAAAAAATTATTATTATTATTATTATTATTATTATTTTATTGTTTTGTTGGAAGTCTCCCAGAGTGGCTGGGGAAACCCAGCCAGATGGGCGGGGTATAAATAATAAATTATTATTAGTAGTAGTAGTAGTAGTAGTAGTAGTAGTAGTACACATAATGCTTATAGCAGCAGCCAGCGTCTCCCTTCTGAAGCTTCCTTGGGCTGGAGTTGGGACAGCAGAAGTCCAAACCAACCACCACCTGATGGCAAACAGGGTCTATCTCAGGTCTTTCTCTGGAAACTGCTCCCCTGTGAAGGCTCCTAGGGCTGGAGGTGGGGGCAAGGCCAGCACAAAACCTCCCTCGCCTCTCCTGGAGCCTGAGGTTCTCAGTCCCATTGGTCCGTACAGACCAGCAGCCACTCTCTGGAATTTCTCTACCACTGAGCTACAGCCCTTCCCTGTCAACGGATGCTCTTGGGATAACTCTACTGCAGATATTTAGTTTCTGGGCCCAATTAATTCGAGGCTGTTATGTACTGAAGTTCTCACCCCGGGCCAGCAGGGGGATACTGTAGATAGTTTTCACTCAGGTCCACATATGCAAATAAGGAATTGAAAGTGACGTTCAGTAATTGGATAGTTACAGAAAGTTGTTACTGTTGCGTTGTAGTGGAGCTCTATACAAGCAGGCTGGCTGAAAGGCCTGGAAACGATGCCTTATGAGGAACGGCTAAGGGAGCTGGGCATGTTTAGCCTGGAGAAGAGGAGGTTAAGGGGTGATATGATAGCCATGTTCAAATATATAAAAGGATGTCACATAGAGGAGGGAGAAAGGTTGTTTTCTGCTGCTCCAGAGAAGCGGACACGGAGCAATGGATCCAAACTACAAGAAAGAAGATTCCACCTAAACATTAGGAAGAACTTCCTGACAGTAAGAGCTGTTCGACAGTGGAATTTGCTGCCAAGGAGTGTGGTGGAGTCTCCTTCATTGGAGGTCTTTAAGCAGAGGCTTGACAACCATATGTCAGGAGTGCTCTGATGGTGTTTCCTGCTTGGCAGGGGGTTGGACTCGATGGCCCTTATGGTCTCTTCCAACTCTATGATTCTATGATTCTATGAAACCTTCAGTTCAGTTCTGCCTGGCCTGTGAATAAACAAGAGCTGTTTGAAGAATCGCTGTGTCGTCTGATATGTTCACCCACAACTTAACAGAGGCCCTTCTTGGTTTGCCTCTTCCATGAGAGGTCCAGAGGGTGGCAACACAAGACCCGGCCTTTTCTGTGGTGGCTCCCCACTTGCGCGATGCTCTCCCCAGGGAGGCTCGCCTGGTGCCTTCATTGCATATCATTAGGTGTCAGACAAAACTGTTTTCTATAGGCCTTTGGCTAATTAAACAATCTATGACCTTTTAAACTGGGGTGAGGTGGAGGGTTATTGCTTTGTTATTATTTTATATACCGTATTTTTCGCTCCATAAGATGCACTTTTTTCTCCTAAAAAGTAAGGGGAAATGTATGTGCGTCTTATGGAGCGAATGTGTGGTCCCTGGAGCCAAATTGCCCAGGGGCAAAAAGCAGATTGTGCTTTTTTTTCTAGAAAGAGGGAAGTGGGTGTTGAAACAGAGCAGCTGATAGGCAAGGGATTGGGAGATAGATAAGGGACTCTAGAGATAAAGGAGGCTGCCTGGGAGTGGGGAGGTAAAAGCACATGGATCCTCAGGATTTCTGCATTGGGCCACCCCAAATTCACCATCAGATCACATAGCATGTCCATGGCTACAGCCTGCACCAAAACACACATGCATCCACTGTTTTGTGGGGCCGCAATGGCGCAAAAACATGGTTACAAAGCACGGGTCCACATGGATTCTCAGGATCTTTGCATTGGGCTACCCCAAACTCACCATCAAATCACATATCCACAAAAATCATACATCCACTGTTTTGTTCAGCATATTTTTTTTCTTGTTTTCCTCCTCTAAAAACTAGGTGCATCTTATGGTCAGGTGCGTCTTATGTAGCGAAAAATACGGTAATTTTTTTTTTTTAAATTATATTGCAAACCACCCAGTGATCCTCAGATGGAGAGTAGTATAGACATTTAATAAATCAACACAGAAATAATGTGGTTTTATGCCAAATCTTTGGAAATCTTTGAAATGGGGGGTGAGGGAGATTCGATCCAGTTTGGATTTAAAGGCAATCTTACCGAAGTGCCAATTTCCAAAGCAATCAGTGAACCAAAACACAGCCATCCTTTAAAATGTGTACTTACATGAATTGCGCAGCACGGTTATCCAGCCAAGTAAGGTGTCCAAAATCCATAGGTATTTATAGCCGACTTGGATGGAGGTGTTGAGGGGATGCTCATCAAATTTTCAGGCGGCACCAAACTGGGAGGGGTAGCCAATAACGCTGAAACAAAATCGGGATTCAAGATGACCTTAACACATTGGAGAACTGGGCTGAAACTAACCGAAAGAATTTCAATAGTGACAACTGTAAGGTTCTGCACTTAGCCAGGAATAACTAGATGGAGACAACATAAAAAAACTCCTTCCAGTAGCACCTTAGAGACCAACTAAGTTTGTTATTGGTATGAGCTTTCATGTGCATGCACACTTCTTCAGATATGAAGATGTATCTTTTCTTCAGAGATGCATCTGAAGAAGTGTGCATGCACACAAAAGCTCGTACCAATAACAAACTTAGTTGGTCTCTAAGGTGCTACTAAAGGGACGCGGGTGGCGCTGTGGGTTAAACCACAGAGCCTAGGGCTTGCCAATCAGAAGGTCGGCGGTTCGAATCCCCGCGATGGGGTGAGCTTCCGTTGCTCGGTCCCTGCTCCTGCCCACCTAGCAGTTCGAAAGCACGTCAAAGGGCAAGTAGATAAATAGGTACCGCTTCAGCGGGAAGGTAAACGGCGTTTCCGTGCGCTGCTCTGGTTCACCAGAAGCGGCTTAGTCAAACTGGCCACATGACCCAGAAGCTATACGCTGGCTCCATCAGCCAGTAAAGTGAGATGAGGACTGCAACCCCAGAGTTGTCCGCAACTGGACCTAATGGTCAGGAGTCCCTTTACCTTTACTAAGGTGCTACTGGAAGGAATTTTTTTATTTTGTTTCGACTACAGCAGACCAACACGGCTACCTACCTATAACTAGATGGGGACGGTGGCAGAGGAAGGGATTGCGGGGGTGTGTGGGCTGCCCCAGGTGTCATCACTTGGGGGAGGGTTTGACAAAATGACAAAAAGATGAGTTTTTTTTAAAAAAAATTGGGCTCACAAAACTTTTTACAGGTTACGAATAGTTCTTACGAGCTCCACTAACCAGGAAGTAGCTGCTTCTGGTTGCGAACTTTGCCCCAGGATGCTAACGGAAATTGCATGCCAGAGGCAGGCGCACGGCGGGAGGCCCCATTAGCGAAAGCGCGCCTCAGGATAGGAACGGTTTCAGCTTAAGAACGGACCACCGTAATGAATTAAGTTCATAACCAGAGGTACCACTGTAGTTCAGCCAACAAACGCAATGAAACGTGGCTACAGAAGTACTGTGTTTGGGGGACAGGAGGCGGGTGGGTGTGGAGGACTCCCTGGTCCTGAATGGGGTAACTGTGCCCCTGAAGGACCAGGTGCGCAGCCTGGGAGTCATTTTGGACTCACAGATGTCCATGGAGGCGCAGGTCAATTCTGTGTCCAGAGCGGCTGTCTACCAGCTCCATCTGGTATTCAGGTTGAGACCCTACCTGCCCGCAGACTGTCTTGCCAGAGTGGTGCATGCTCTAGTTATCTCCCTCTTGGACTACTGCAGTGCGCTCTACATGGGGCTACCTTTGAAGGTGACCCGGAAACTACAACTAATCCAGAATGCGGCAGATAGACTGGTGACTGGGGGTGGCGGCCGAGACCACATAACATTAGTCCTGAAAGACCTACATTGGCTCCCAGTATGTTTCCGAGCACAATTCAAAGTGTTGGTGCTGACCTTTAAAGCCCTAAACAGCCTCGGTCCAGTATACCTGAAGGAGCGTCTCCACCCCCATCATTCTGCCCAGACGCTGAGGTCCGGTTCCGAGGGCCTTCTGGCAGTTTCCTCACTGTGAGAAGCCAAGTTATAGGGAACCAGGCAGAGGGCCTTCTCGGTAGTGGCACCCGCCCTGTGGAATGCCCTCCCACCAGATGTCAAAGAGAAAAACGACTACCTGACATTTAGAAAACATCTGAAGGCAACCCTGTTCAGGGAAGTTTTTAATGTGTGACATTTTGATGTATTTTTAATTTTGGTTGGAAGTCTCCTAGAGTGGCTGGGGAAACCCAGCCAGATGGGTGGTGTACAAATAATAAATTATTATTATTATTATTATTATTATTATTATTATTATTATACCACCACTGGGCACCACACCATGGGGGTCAGCACTTACCGCTGGGCCTTCAGCGTGCCCAAGCCACGCGTCTCTCCTGGAAGTGACGTGGTGGCTTGGGCACCTGGAGGCTCCGTGCTGCCTGGAACGGCAGTGTCAGGCTTGCATCTGCCCATCGCCTCTCTCTCAACCGCCCTACAGCTGAGGGGGGTGTGGTGGAGAGGCTCCACGTAGCGCACCCTGCCCCCATGGGCAGCTCGCCCACCCTCCAGCTGCAGGACACACACGCTGCACCCGGCACCCGAGCGGCTAGCTACGCCGCTGGATGGGAACACCTGGATTGCTAGCAGCACATATGAAAAAGGATCTATAGGTCTTAGTACAGGGTCAGGTTTAAGGTGCTGGTTTTGACCTTTAAAGCCCTATGCAGCCTAGGACCCACGTACCTACAGGACCGCCTCTCCTGGTATGCCCCGCGAAAGACCTTAAGGTCCACAAATAACAACACTTTGGAGGTCCCAAGCCTCAAGGAGGTTAGATTGGCTTCAACTAGGGCTAGGGCCTTTTCAGTAGTGGCCCCAACGGGGGTGAAACGCTCTGTCACAAGAGACTAGGGCCCTGCAGGACTTGACATGTTTCCGCAGGACCTGCAAGACAGAGCTGTTCCTCCTGGCCTTTGGTTTGGACTCAGTCTGACCCTTATGTTTCCCTCCTCTTATGGTCTTGATTTATCAGCTATTTTAAAAAGAGGCTGCATTTTAAATTGCGTTTTGACCTGTATTTTAAATTGGGGGTCCCCCCCTCTCTCTCCCCCATTATGTTTTTACTGTGATTTTATTGGTGTTAGCCGCCCTGAGCCCGGCTCTGGCCGGGGAGGGCGGGGTATAAATAAAATTTATTATTATTAGTAGTAGTAGACCACAAGCTTAACATGAGTCAACAGCGTGATGCAGCAGCAAAAAAGGCAAATGCTATTCTAGGCTCCAGATGAGGGAAGTCATAGTCCCGCTCTATTCTGCCTTGGTCAGACCACACCTGGAATATTGTGTCCAGTTCTGGGTGCAACAGCTTAAGAAGGATTTTGACAAGCTGGAACGTGTGAAATTAAAAGGTACACAGATTGTTGAAATAAAAAAATAAGGGCTTTCTAAATGAAAGTAGGACTTGCTCCCCCCGCCACTCCTAATATAGCCGGAAGAGGTCACTTGTGAAGCAAAATGAGTGGCGTCTTAGCCATGATTACCTGTGACAGGCGTCGAAGCATTAAGTACTTTAGCCTGACCCGGTAGGGCGGTTTACAGCTGAAGCAAGATAATGTCCTGCAGAACCTTTTAACCACATGCGGAAGAATAAGACTGACAGTGCAATAATCTGTGGGCGAAGGAGTTTCCCAGTGATGAGGCATAAATTCACAGGTGGAGCTTAATTCGGGGTTTCTGGGCTGGTTTGCAGTAACAGGTACACTGAAATGCACAACAGCTTGCAAAGAGGAAGTTTTCACTGGGCATTCATTGCATTTCTCTGGCACTAATAATAATAATAATAATAATAATAATAATAATAATAATAATTTATACGCCACACATCTGGCTGGGTTTCTCCAGCCACTCTGGGCGGCTTCCAACAAATTATTAAAATACCGTAATACATCAAACATTAAAAGCTTCCCTAAACAGGGCTGCCTTCAGATGTCTTCTAAAAGTATGGTAGTTGTTGTTCTCTTTGACATCTGGTGGGAGGCTGTTCCACAGGCCGGGTGCCACCACCGAGAAGGCCCTCTGCCTGGTTCCCTGTAACTTGGCTTCTCGCAGGGAGGGAACTGCCAGAAGGCCCTCGGCGCTGGACCTCAGTGTCCGGGCAGAATGATGGGGGTGGGGACGCTTAATAATTTGCTAAATGATAAAGTCTGCAGCCCCACAACAACACCCCAAGGGTGGGGAACCTGTGGCCCAGAGAGCCAAATGCGGCCCTCGAAATCTCTTTATATGGCCCATGGAACTCTTCCCAGGCCACACCCCCTCTCTCCTCAGGCCACACCCCTCACTGCCCCCCTTGCTTCCCGAAGTGGTTTTTCTTCCCTGGGGTGTCTCCTTGAGCTCTGATAATGCCTTTTGCATGCCAGGCTGGAGGGCAGAAAGGGACGCGGGTGGCGCTGTGGGTTAAACCACATAGCCTAGGGCTTGCCGATCAGAAGGTCAGTGGTTCGAATCCCCGTGACGGGGTGAGCTCCCGTTGCTCGGCCCCTGCTCCTGCCAACCTAGCAGTTCGAAAGCACGTCAAAGTGCAAGTAGATAAATATGGACGTGTGTATGGACGTGAGTGAATGTTAGTGAAAATACCACAATGAAACACATTATATGAGGAAGCATGTCATTGCAAAACTGTGTACGTTAGGTGAAATTGCATTCAAAAATATTGGGAGAAATTTGCACCCCAAATGTTGGCGCATAGTTGGGCCGCACATATTTCCCTAGGAAGGGCATTCCAAAGGTTTGGGGCCACAAAAAAGGGCCCCATTCTGGCACCTGCCATTTTAGCAGCTCTCGGTGTCTGGGGTCATTAGAGGAATTGTGACAGTTTTCGCCCTGGCATTCCACCCCCCTTTCTCTGAGTGTGCCTTTTCCTTTCTACCTTATAGGTTTTAGGGGAACATAAAGTATTGGGCCCAGGGGATGATGGTGGGACAGAAGGCAAGGAGCTGAACAGCAGGTGGCGCCAGAGGGCCAGTGACAGACAGAGCCAACTCTTTCTAATTTGTCCCCATCCCCTTCCTTCCTGCTGAGTTCTAAAGAGGCAACATTGAGACTAAGCCAACAGGCAGTGCTGCCCTCTGGAATAGCTTGTGGGTAAGATGGCAAGCAGGTGAGAGATGGCTGAGGACAGGTGGCCGTTGGTGGGGCAGTGCCCCATTTACCTTTATACCCGAAGAAGCGTCTCCACCCCCATCATTCTACCTGGACACTGAGGTCCAGCTCCAAGGGCCTTCTGACGGTTCCCTCCCTGCGATAATCCAAGTTACAGGGAACCAGGCAGAGGGCCTTCTCGGTAGTGGCACCCGCCCTGTGGAATGCCCTCCCACCAGATATCAAAGAGAACAACAACTACCAGACTTTTAGAAGACATCTGAAGGCAGCCCTGTTTAGGGAAGCTTTTAATGTTTGATGTATTACGGTATTTTAATATTTTGTTGGAAGCCACCCAGAGTGGCTGGGGAAGCCCAGCCAGATGGGCGGGGTATAAATAAATAAATAATAATAATAATTACAAAGAAACCAGAGACGTATCTCCTTGGATTGATAGATGAAGAGATACCACGGGGGGTGGGAATAATTTTTCTATATGCAAGTTCAGCTAGTAGAATAGTGATTGCTACTAGGTGGAAGTTACAAGCTATACCCACAAAGGAGGAATGGATTTGTAAACTAAACGAATATTTAATTTTCGCAGAATTGACTGCTATAATAAGAAATCAGTCGAATCAAAAATTAAATGTTTTGATGAGTTTTATGGCAAAATATTGCTAAAAAAAAAGATACGCTAATATGCCTAGATTAAAATGTGAAGTACTGGATGGAAGAAAAATTAGTAAGGAAAGATAATAAGAATATATAGACGATTTGAGGAGACTGTAGAATGCGAAGACTATTGTAAATTGTATAATGGGAGGAAATCAAGGGGGGGCGGATGGAAGTGGGAGGAGGGAGAAAAGAATAATACGATGGATTGAGGAAATATAAATGTAAATGTATGGGGAGGAAATGGTGTTGGCATATCTGTATTGTAATGTGTGAAAACCTTATAAAAAAATGATCAAGGGTCTGGAAACTAAGCCTGATGAGGAACGGTTGAAGGAGCTGGGTATGTTTAACCTGGGAAAGAGGCGACTGAGAGGAGATATGAGAGATCTTCAAATATATTATGGGCTGTCACATGGAGGATGGAGCAAGCTTATTTTCTCCTGCTCCACAGGGTAGGACCCAAACCAACGGATTCAAGTTGCAAGAAAGAGATTCAGGCTAAACATCAGGAAGAACGTTCTACTATTTGATGGCAGATCGGACTCCCTTGGGAAGTTGTGGACTATAACCTATGGCCTGTGAAAGTGTAGGGGAGTGGACTGTTATTATTATTATTATTATTATTATTATTATTTTACTATTAGGCTGTCTGTCAGTATGTTTTTACGATGTTTTTATCACTGATGTTTGGTTATGTGTTTCTAACATTGTACACCGCCCTGAGATTTTTTTTGCTCAGTGGCAGTACATAAGCTAAAAACGGATTAAAGCACACATCAGTAGTCTACAAGCCTGGATGGGCTTGCTTAAACAACAATGTTTTTAGCAGGCGCTGGAAAGAATTGAGTGAAGGTGCCCCACGAATATCACTAGGCAGGGAGTTCCAAAGGGCAGGCGATGCCTTATTAACAGATCTGGACCTTCTGGAAGTGGTGAACATGTCTCCTAATGAGTGGGATTTTTGGATGAAGGGCAGCATACAAGTTTAATTCATTAACAATACTAATAATAACAGCAATATTTTCTACAAGCAATTTTCAATCGGAGAACCTGCATCACGAAGATTGCAGAAGGGCGAATATTGCAGGATAACTGTGTTTTTGGTTCAGGAGGTGCAAAACAGGCTAGTTCTGCTCCCACCTTGATCCTGTGTCCCTTAAAAACCCAAATTCTGCAGTCAGAATTAAATAAAGATCGATTTCTTTTATCTCGGGTATATTCATTTCCTATGATCCATGTATTTTTTAAAAAAGTGCTTTAAAAAAAAGCACTTTTGCTAAAGGGGGAAATGGCATGGCGGCAGTTCCTCATGACCGTGGGCCACTATCATGAGGTCTAGCAACCTGCAATATTTATGAAAAGGAAAAGAAAGCAAGAGATTTTCAAGATGCCACGCACGTCATGCCAGATATTAGATACTATTCCGCTGCAGAAGCTTTTGACTCAATCAGGCAACCGACCAACAAACCCATTAAGCGTCAGAATTAGGATTGCTGCCAACTTAAGCCACAGCACACATGACTTGTTAACAGGGCTGCTCTGGAGTAAATGTTCTGAGGATCGAAGCCCTCTCCCCATAGACCCCAACAGCCCAAATTCTCAGATAAAGTCCAGTTGCAGTTTGATGTTTAGCATCCTGACAAATCTAAAACACAACTTGTTCTTGACTTACCAAGGTCACCCAAGTACATCCCTTAGTTCTGAGCTCAGACCCAAAATGGAGCCTTTCATCTCTTCCCGAGAACAGTGTAGAAAATCCACAGTTTCCAAAACAAAAATTGCTTTCAATCTGAAAAGGTTTCTACAGTTTCTTGAGGGAAGCCCATTGTTTTCCCCAAGTCTGGCTGGAAGGAGTTTTACGGTGGTCCTGGACTCAACCTATCCTTTCCCCTCCAGGATCCTGGCTCCATCCTGGGCTACGTGAGAGGAGGCCTGTTTCTCCAGAAAAGCGGGAAGAAAGTGGTAGGTCCCTCTAGCTGGGCAATGGCCACTCTGAATAGGATTAGGATGAGGAGAAAAGCTTCTTACAGGCCAGGCACCATCTGCAAACTCATGAGAGTAATGAGGTTATGGAGATTATTCGTATCCTGGTGGTTGCGGCAGGTTGCGGGCCTCAAAAAAAAAATGTACCGCCTTTTCTTTGCAAGAGTTAAGTCGTGATCTTAAGTGTTTGGGCACAATGGCTCTATATTGCCATCACCTCCTGGCAAATAGAAGGGGAAAAAATGGAGGCAGTGAGAGATTTTACTTTCTTGGGCTCCATGATCACTGCAGATGGTGACAGCAGCCACGAAATTAAAAGACGCCTGCTTCTTGGGAGAAAAGCAATGACAAACCTAGACAGCATCTTAAAAAGCAGAGATAGCACCTTGCCGACAAAAGTCCGTATAATTAAAGCTATGGTTCTCTCAGTAGTGGTGTATGGAAGTGAGAGCTAGACCATAAAGAAGGCTCTGAAGAACTGGTGCTTTTGAATTCTGGTGCTGGAGGAGACTCTTGAGAGTCCCATGGACTGCAAGAAGATCAAACCTCTCCATTCTGAAGGAAATCAGCCCTGAGTGCTCACTGGAAGGACAGATCCTGAAGCTGAGGCTCCAATACTTTGGCCACCTCATGAGAAAAGAAGACTCCCTGGAAAAGACCCTGATGTTGGGAAAGATGGAGGGCACAAGGAGAAGGGGACGACAGAGGACGAGATGGTTGGACCGTGTTCTCGAAGCTACCAGCATGAGTTTGACCAAACTGCGGGAGGCAGTGGAAGACAAGAGTGCCTGGCATGCTCTGGTCCATGGGGTCACGAAGAGTCGGACACGACTAAAGAACTAAACAACAACAACAGCAGCAGCAAGAGATACAGTTGTACCTTGGTTTCCGAACAGCTTAGTTCTCAAACGTTTTGGCTCCCGGATGCTGCAAACCTGGAAGTGACTGTTCCGGTTTGCAAACTATTTTTGGAAGCCGAACGTCCGACGGGGTTTCCATGGCTTCCGATTGGCTGCGGGAGTTTCCCGCAGTCAATCGGAAGCTGCGCTTTGGTTTCCGAACGTTTTGGAAGTTGAATGATCTTCTGGAACGGATTCTGTCTGACTTCCAAAGTATGACTGTACAGTAATACCAATGGCTGCGACTCACGAGAATGGAAAGATGTTTCATTGGGTTAGCCTTATAATACGAACCTTACCAATCCACACTTCCCAAAACAGTATGCCATCCAGAATGCAGCTATCTTGCAGACCATGCACTTCTCTGGATTATCTTTTTTTTAAAAAAAATAGTTTTCATTTTAGATTTCCTTGTATAATGAACATTTTATTCATACATACATACATACATACCCCCCCATCTGGCTGGGTTTTCCCAGCCACTCTGGGTGGCTCCCAACAGAATATTAAAAACACAAACATCAAACATTAAAAACTTTCCTAAACTGGGCTGCTTTCAGATATCATCTAAATGTCAGATAGTTGCTTATTTCCTTGACATCTGATGGGAGGGTGTTCCACAGGGTAGGTGCCACTACCGAGAAGGCCCTCTGCCTGGTTCCCTGTAGCTTCGCTTCTTGCAGTGAGGGAACCGCCAGAAGGCCTTCGGAGTGAGTGTTCTGTGGCTGGGATGAATGATGGGGGTAGAGACGCTCCTTCAGGTATAATGTCTTCAGGGAAAGAATACCTGAAAATGCATATACTGGTGGAACTAATGTAAAATGCATTGCATTGGGGGTGAATTGCTTGCAAAGTATGTGTTTTAAGCACGATTTTGTGCAAAGCCATGTATATTAGAAGAAATGTGCAGGAACTGTGATAAGTTCAAGGCTCGTGTATTAATATTCAAAGGCCTGGACACCCTGAGCTCAGGATAACCGCCTGAGTCCTTGTATCTCAGCATGGTCACTAAGATTACCTGGAGAAGTTCTGTTAGATGTCCCAGGAGACTAGATGAGGTGACTGCTCTCAATGTAGATCTTGATTCCTCACCTGCAGTGGCATAGCATGGCTTGCTAGTGCCCGGGGCAAGGAAAGTATTCCACACCCTAAGGCAAGCATTGCACCCTTAACCGGTGCTTCCGGTAGGGGACACTGCATGGCCAAGGGATACAAGGGCCCACCCTCTACCAACTCCTGCTCAGTGTGCTCCTCAAGTGGGGTGGGTGGGACGGAGGCAGCAGCTGCAGAGGCACACCCCTAATTTTCTTTTGCACCCGGGGCAATCACCCCGGTAGTACCCCCCATGTGGAAGAAGCTTCCTGGTGAATAATAGAATGTCTCATTCTCATTGGAGAAATGTTGGAGGGTATGCGCCATATAATATAACAATATAATATAACAATAATATTCTTGCAATAACAACTTGTTATTGTTGTTGTTGTTGTTATTATTATTATTATTATTATTATTATTATTATTATTATTAATACCCCACCCATCTTGCTGGGCTTCCCAGCCACTCTGGGCGGCTCCCAACAGACTATTAAAAACATGATAAAACATCATACTTTAAAATTTTGTTGCACCAGCAACAAATATACACAGAGAGAGTTATTCTCTTGGATTTACTGCAAGAATATTGGACTGTTTGGTTTTGAGATGTTGAGTTGTGTCTGTTATTATTATTATTTTGGCCTTGTAAATATCATTTCAGACTCTAAGTCATAGAAGGTGTTGAATTTTTGTACATTTCCCTGGACATTGCCGGGATATCTAAGGCAGCATTGACATCCGAGGTGCTTTGTCCTGGATCTTAGGAAAGTCAATCGAAAATTTGTGGGGGGGGGGTGTGGCTTGTCCAAAAATAGCAAAGCTCAACAACTTTTGGGACGTCCTGGTTTTTACTTTAAAAACTCTTTTAAACCATGTACAGTGGTACATTGGGTTAAGTACTTAATTCGTTCCGGAGGTCCGTTCTTAACCTGAAACTGTTCTTAACCTGAAGCACCAGTTTAGCTAATGGGGCTTCCTGCTGCTGCCGCGCCGCCGGAGCACGATTTCTGTTCTCATCCTGAAGCAAAGTTCTTAACCTGAAGCACTATTTCGGGGTTAGCAGAGTCTGTAACCTGAAGCGTACGTAACCTGAAGCATATGTAACCCGAGGTACCCCTGTACAGAATTATTTAGCTTGTGATATTCTTCACTAACCCGGGCAAATGAAGAGTCCCGAGGTCGTCATGTTTGGGGGGAAAGAACTGTAGCTCAGTGGTAGAACAAGGAAAGCTTCTGGTTCAGTAAACGATGCTGCTAGGAGTGTCATCTAAAAACCTGGAAAGGCTCTGCTGGCCAGTGTAGGTGATACAGAGACAAATTGGCCTGACTCTGTACACGGCAAAGTTACTTGGGAGTGCATTTGACAATGGCCCCACAGCTGTGCCAGAGCGATCTGTATCCCCTGGGCCTCTTCCTTGTCTGTAATAATCAGCAACCTTAATCTGAAATCCTGATTATCCTGGAGGTTTTAGGCCTCCAGCACGTAGCATTCTTCTGCCCTGAAGTTTATGCAAGCAGAAGGGCTTCTAAGACCGGGAGGAGAGAAGGTACCCAGATCTCTCTGTTTGCCTTTCCGGTGCCCCTTGGGCATGGCTGACACTATCGCAGGGTTTCATCGCCGTCATCGTAGAATGGTAGAGTTGGAAGGGACCTGCAATGGTCATTTAGTCCAGCCCCTGCAATGCAGCAATCTCAACTAGATGGCCACCCAATGTCTGCTTAAAAACCTCCATCATCTTCAAAACGTGCCAGGTGATATTGGCTCCAGCTCTACAAAGTGAGGACATCCTTTTTTCCCAGTGAATTTTTTTTAAAAGGGAAAAAGCAAACGCAGATCATGCTTGCTTTTATATTTTAAAAAGAAAATGATAGTTGGCTGTATTTATTTATCTATTTATTTATTATCCAAGAAAAGCATTTATTTATCTATTATTTATTATCTAAGAAAAGCAATGACAGACCTAGACAGCATCTTAAAAAGCAGAGATATCACCTTGCCGACAGAAGTCCGTATAATTAAAGCTATGTTTTTCCCAGTAGTGATGTATGGAAGTGAGAGCTGGACCATAAAGAAGGCTGATCACCGAAGAATTGATGCTTTTGAATTCTGGTGCTGGAGGAGACTCTTGAGAGTCCCATGGACTGCAAGAAGATCAACCCTATCCATTCTGAAGGAAATCAGCCCTGAGTGCTCACTGAAAGGACAGATCCTGAAGCTGAGGCTCCAGTACTTTGGCCACCTCATTAGAAGAGAAGACTCCCTGGAAAAGACCCTGATGTTGGGAAAGATGGAGGGCACAAGGAGAAGGGGACAATAGAGGACGAGATGGTGGGACAGTGTTCTCGAAGCTACCAGCATGAGTTTGACCAAACTGCGGGAGGCAGTGGAAGACAGGAGTGCCTGGCGTGCTCTGGTCCAGGGGGGTCACGAAGAGTCGGACACGACTAAACAACAACAACAACATTTATCTATTGCATCTACACACCACATTTTCCTCCAAGGAGCTCCAGCGGTTCTCCTGTTCCCCAGTTAATTCCAATAACAAACTTGTTATTGTCAGGTGATGCTGAGAATCAGTGGCCCATGGCTGAGCGAGGATTTGAACCCAGGTCTCTCCCAGCTCCTAGCCCAGCACTCTAACCACTGCACCACGCTGTCTCTCCAAAGTGCATGTCGTCCTTTTAGAGCTCAAAGCACTTTATCTCCGAATCCTTATGAAAGCCAGGAATGCTAAGAAAGTCAATATTATTGCCCCTTATATCGCAGTTGAGGGCTTTGCAAAGGCTAAGACGACCTCTCTTTCCTGACATGATAGCTTGGGGCTGTTTTTTTCTTTTCTTTTTAATGGGGGAACGCTCATTCATCTGAGCCCCTGAGTGGTACGTCGAGACACAGGCCAAACCCTCTCACTGAGGACTAGGGCCTTGGGCCTGTCCACACCAGAGCAAAATGTAGACCCTATTCCAGGGTCTTTTCTGCCTTTAAATGCAGGTTATTTGGGGCTTGTATGTGTTTACACTAGCCTTTTGGGGACATTCCAAACATGAAAAAGACCCCTGCATTCAAATGGGGGATAGCTCAGTTGGCAGAGCGTGAGACTCTTGATCTCAGGTGAAATATACTCAGAGTCGAGTGTGGATTTCATGCTATTTATTCAGCTCATAGTAGTGAGGAATGAAAGTTCCCCCAACATATCTGCTTTATATCCATTATTTACACAATGGGCCGCACATGATTGGCTAATTCCGGGATTCTCCTGTAGGCCAATCAGGTTGCGGATTTACTTCCACCTGAAGCTGGATTTGGTGGCTCCTGCGGACCAATCAGACTGCTGCATTCTGAATCCTATTGTTCTAGGACCAATCAGACTGCTGCATTTTGGATCCTATTCAACTCAGTACATAACATCAGGGTTGTGAATTTGAGTCCCACGTTGGATGAAAGATTCCTGCATTGCAGGGGGTTGGGCTAGATGATGAAGAAGAAGAGTTTGGATTTGATATCCCGCTTTATCACTACCCAAAGGAGTCTCAAAGCGGCTAACATTCTCCTTTCCCTTCCTCTCCCACAACAAACACTCTGTGAGGTGAGTGGGGCTGAGAGACTTCAGAGAAGTGTGACTGGCCCAAGGTCACCCAGCAGCTGCATGTGGAGGAGCGGGGAAGCGAACCAAGTTCACCAGATTATGAGTCCACCACTCTTAACCACTACACCACACTGGCTCCTTGTGGTCCCTTTCAACTCTATGGTTCTATGGGTCTATGAAGTATGGGGCATCACTGGGGAGGATGTAATGGACAGTGAGGCAGTCTAGTACAAATCCACATTTTGGTCCAGTGTGGACAAGCCCTAGTGTTGCTCTTCCAAGAGAAAAAACACACCATTCCAGTTCATTGGGAAAGGTGCAACAACAACAACAACAAAAATGAGGGAAATGGGCAAAAAAAATGAGAGGCACAAATACAAGATGGGTGACACCTGGCTTGAGAGCAGTACATGTGAAAAGGATCTAGGAGTCTTGGTTGACCACAAACTTGACATGAGCCAACAGTGTGACGCGGCAGCTAAAAAAGCCAATGCAATTCTGGGCCTCATCAATAGGAGTATAGCATCTAGATCAAGGGAAGTAATAGTGCCACTGTATTCTGCTCTGGTCAGACCTCACCTGGAGTACTGTGTCCAGTTCTGGGCACCACAGTTCAAGAAGGACACTGACAAACTGGAACGTGTCCAGAGGAGGGCAACCAAAATGGTCAAAGGCCTGGAAACGATGCCTTATGAGAAACGGCTAAGGGAGCTGGGCATGTTTAGCCTGGAGAAGAGGAGGTTAAGGGGTGATATGATAGCCATGTTCAAAGATATAAAAGGATGTCACATAGAGGAGGGAGAAAGGTTGTTTTCTGCTGCTCCAGAGAAGCGGACACGGAGCAATGGATCCAAACTACAAGAAAGAAGATTCCACCTAAACATTAGGAAGAACTTCCTGACAGTAAGAGCTGTTCGACAGTGGAATTTGCTGCCACGGAGTGTGGTGGAGTCTCCTTCTTTGGAGGTCTTTAAGCAGAGGCTTGACAACCATATGTCAGGAGTGCTCTGATGGTGTTTCCTGCTTGGCAGGGGGTTGGACTCGATGGCCCTTGTGGTCTCTTCCAACTCTATGATTCTATGATTCTAACAACAACAATTTTATTACTTATAGCCCACCCATCTGGTTGGGCTGCCCCAACCACTCTATTCCAACACACACATAAAAACATCAAACATTAAAAACTTCCCGAAAAAGGGGGCTGCCTTCAGATGTCTTCTAAAAGTTGCGCAGTTATTTATCTCCTTGACATCCGTTGGGAGGGCGTTCCGTAGGGTGGGTGCCACTACCGAGAAGGCCCAACAGTTTTACGAGAACCATAGTGAAAACCTCGTGCTCAGCCGTGTCCGTGTGAATTCATCTTCCTTGCAGACAGAGGGTTGTTTGGGGCTTTCAGAAAACCAGCCGAATGTCTGTTTTCCAAAGGCGAGCTGCAGAATGGCACCCTTGGCAAGACTTTAAATCCTAGACCCTTCCCCAAATCGCCAAGGGTTGCTGGCTGACACTTTTGTTTGAGGCTGCCTTTGTTTTCCCCCTTGCTGAGGTTTCACCTGAAGCTGCCCGATCTGGAACGGTGAGCGTCTAACAGAACCTTTCCTTTTCCCTATTCATTCCATGGTTGTGCATCACAAGCCAGCGTCTCCTAGCAACCAGTCCCAGGAAGGATGGCCAAATTATCAGCAGAGGGTGTCGAAGAAGTCTTCCAGCTGCCGGTAAATAAAAAGGGAAGCAAGGTAGAGGCTGAGCTTTGCGGACGGGGGTGGAGGGGGTGGAGGCCGTCGCCCTGAAATGCAACACACAAAAGGCTTGCCAAGTTTCACTTTCTCAGGAACCAGAATATAAAGACGAGGCGGATTAATTTTGGGAAGAAAAACATTACCCGGCAGATTTGCATGCGGACACCTTTGTGCTGGGAGAGTCACAGCTCAGCGGTAGAGCTTGTGTTTTGTATGTAAAAAATCCCATGTCTGATTTCTGACAGGGCTGGGAGAGTCAGACTCCTTGCCTCAAGCCCTGGAGAGCTGCTGCCAGCCAGTGTGGACAATACTGAACTAGATGGAACAGAGATCTGTCTCAGCTTTCTGCGACAATTCAAGTTTTGGAACTGAGTATTCAGGGTCAGGGCCGGATTTAGGTTTGATGGGGCCCTAAGCTACTGAAGGTAGTGAGGCCCTTTATATGTCCAGCTGTCCTTTGTCAATTCTAGTTTTTGTGTTGAATATATGCTAATTTATGGACCTAACAGGTATCTCAACCCATTTGCGCATGTTGCCATGCAACCAGTCCATGCAGAATGTAGGCGCCCTATATATAGAAAGGAGCAAACCAGTGGTATTTTAGGGAGCAGGCTAGCAGGTGGGGCCCATGACTTACATCATAGGAGCCTACACAACACAAAACACTGTTGCTGTATGTAGGTTTTATTTTATTTGTTTTTTATCTTATATTTTGGAAATGTGCATCCAGTTTTTTCCCCCTTTAATTTTTTTGTGGCCCCCAAGAGAGTGGGGCCCTAAGCTATAGCTTGATTAGCTTATACAGTACGTAAATTCGGCACTGTTCGGGGTCAACCATTTGATATCTTCAGTTGGGAATGATTTTTTTCAGATTTGGTCGGATATGCGAATGTTGTGTATAGTTTTGGTATGTATGTGGTTGAGACAGAGGGGAGAAAGGTCAAATTCTGACAACATAGTGCTCGGGGAAATAAAAAATGACATGGCGGGAATCTTCTGATATGAAGATTGCATTTGTTTGCTTATTTATTCGGTTCACAAGCTGCCCTATAACACCTGCTCTCTGGGCAGCATGTAAGAGAAAATGACAATCAAGTTAGAAGTCACTGTTACAGGAAATACATTCATAAAGGGCAAAGCCACACCTCCTTAATAAAGAACATCCACTTTCTCGTTGAGTTATGGTATCTGAGGGCTCATTGGTGTATATCTATTGGTGATTAGCTTTTAACGAAATCTATTTTGGTGTCGTCAGTGATCTGCAGCTGATATCCACTCAGGCATAAATAAAATAATAAACCAATGAGCTGGTAGATTCCCAGGAAATGTGTTGCCGAATGCCACAAAGTCTCCTGCTCCTGTAACCCTCCTCCAAGTGCTGTAAAAATGAGAGACACAGTTTCCTTAAAATACTGCTTCCTTTGGAGGGGTCTTCACGTGCAAACGTTTTTGATAAGGCTTTGAGTTGGCTTGTGGAAATCTGAGTTTCAGAAGCGAAAGGGTGTGAATTTCTGGCTTTGGGAAGGAAAACAAATTGCTTATTTGACATAATAGTAATAGTACCTTTATTGTCAATGTACACAACCTGCGTACAATGAAATTAACCAAGCCGCCCTCCCCTCAAACACTCAATCTCATTGCGCTCTGTGTGTTTGTCGCACAACACACCAACCCTGAAAGTCAGTTGCACTATATTATTTTCCGTTCAACAGCCTAACAGCCCACGGATAGAAACTGTTTTTTAGCCTGTTGGTACGACTGATTATACTTCTATATCTCCTGCCCGAGGGAAGAAGATTAAAGAGGTGCTGGCCGGGGTGTGAATCGTCCCTGAGAATTTTTGTCGCTCTCCTAAGGCAATGATCTCTTGTGATGTCATGTAGTGGGCTCAGGGGACAACCCATTATTATTATTATTATTATTATTATTATTATTAATAATAATACCCTGCCCATTTGGCTAGGTGTCCCCAGCCACTCTGGGCGGCTTCCAAAAGAATTTTAAAAACACAACGAAACATCAAACATTAAAAACTTCCCCTTCAGTTGCCTTCTAAAAGTCAGATAGTATTTATTTCCTTGACATCTAAAGGGAAGGTGTTCCACAGGGCAGGCGCCACCACCGAGAAGGCCCTCTGCCTGGTTCCCTGTAACTTGGCTTCTCGCAGAGGAGGGAACCGCCAGAAGGCCCACGGCGCTGGACCTCAGTGTCTGGGTAGAACGATGGGGGTGGAGACGCTCCTTCAGATATACTGGACCGAAGCCGTTTAGGGCTTTAAAGGTCAGCACCAACACTTTGAATTGTGCTCGGAAACGTACTGGGAGCCAGTGTAGGTCTTTCAAGACCGGTGTTATGTGGTCTCGGCAGCTGCTCCCAGTCACCCGTCTAGCTGCCGCATTCTGGATTAGTTGTAGTTTCTGAGTCACCTTCAAAGGTAGCCCCACGTAGAGCGCATTGCAGTAGTCCCAGTTGGAGATAACCAGAGCATGCACCACTCTGGCGAGACAGTCCGCAGGGAGGTAGGGTCTCATCCTGCATACCAGATGGAGCTGATAAACAGCTGCCCTGGACACAGAATTGACCTGCGCCTCCATGGACAGCTGTATACTCATTGAGCTATCTATTATGACCCCAAGGTCTTATTCCTGGTCCATCACTGCCAGTAACAAACCCATGAACATATGTGCGAAATTAAAAAACAACAACCCACCTTTGCCTGCTTGTGTTTCTCAGCAAAATTTTTCAGCTCAAGGTGAACCAAAGAGAGCCAGCGGTATTAGCTGTGCTCATAACAAGGCCTCTTAAATGAAGGGCATAATTAACTGAGTCTTTAGGTGAATTAGCTTGAATACAGGGCAGATCGCAGCAGGAGTCTTTCGTATGCTGCTAATCTCTCTCCACAGCCCTTGGCATCAGGACTTTTGCACCCTTATTCCCATTTCGATTCCTGCTTTCAGAAAACCCACAGTCTCTCTCTCACACACATATACACAACCTTTGCTAAAATGGAACCATCCAGTTGATTCGGACTACAACTCCCATCAGCACCAGCCTGCCTCCTGAGGAGAGTGTTTCATCGGCAGAAAATCTTGCCCATGTTCCAGCAACTGATGCAGAACAGCAGATGTGGCTAATGATAGCTCAGTGGGGGGGTGAATCCAATTGAACATAGACCCTATGTTGTTTAGTCGTTTAGTCGTGTCCGACTCTTTGTGACCCCCTGGACCAGAGCACGCCGGGCACTCCTGTCTTCCACTGCCTCCCGCAGTTTGGTCAAACTCATGCTGGTAGCTTCGAGAACACTGTCCCACCATCTCGTCCTCTGTCGTCCCCTTCTCCTTGTGCCCTCCATCTTTCCCAACATCAGGGTCTTTTCCAGGAGTCTTCTCTTCTCATGTGGTGGCCAAAGTCTTGGAGCCTCAGCTTCAGGATCTGTCCTTCCAGTGAGCACTCAGGGCTGATTTCCTTCAGAATGGAGAGGTTTGATCTTCTTGCAGTCCATGGGACTCTCAAGAGTCTCCTCCAGCACCAGAATTCAAAAGCATCCATTCTTCGGCGATCAGCCTTCTTTATGGTCCAGCTCTCACTTCCATACATCACTACTGGGAAAACCATAGCTTTAACTATACGGACCTTTGTTGGCAAGCTGATGTCTCTGCTTTTTAAGATGCTGTCTAGAATCATAGAATCTTAGACCTTGAAGGGACCCCATGGGTCATCTAGACCAACCCCCTGCATTGCAGGAATCTCAGCAAAAGCATCCATGGTAGATGGCCACCCAAGCTCTGCTTAAATCCCTCTAAGGAAGGAGAGTCCATAACCTCTTGAGAGAGAGAGTGTTCCACTGTCAAACAGCTCTTACCGTCAGAAAGTTGTTATAATAATAATAATAATAATAATATTTTTTTAATTTATATCCCACCCTCCCCAGCCAGAGCCGGGCTCAGAGCGGCTAACAACAATAAAAGTAACACAGTTTACATGAAATCACAATCAATTAATTGAAATACATTCTAAAATTGATTCATTCTAAAATCAATTCAGAATCAAATTAATGGCAACCATTGGGCTAGAGTTCTATGAGGATTACCAAAGGAGGGGGTCAGACTGTGCCTTGGCCAAAGGCCTGGTGGAACAGCTCTGTCTTGCAGGCCCTGAGGAAAGATGTCAAGTCCCGCAGGGCCCTAGTCTCTTGTGACAGAGCGTTCCACCAGATTGGGGCCACAGCCGAAAAAGCCCTGGCTCTGGTTGAGGCCAGCCTAACCTCCCTGTGGCCCGGGACCTTCAAGACATTTTTGTTTGAAGACCGTAAAGTCCTCTGTGGGACATACCAGGAGAGGTGGTCTCGTAGGTACGAGGGTCCTAGGCTGTATAGGGCTTTAAAGGTTAAAACCAGCACCTTAAACCTGATCCTGTACTCCACCGGGAGCCAGTGCAGCTGGTATAGCCCCAGGTGAGTGTGACCCTGTGGCGAGGACCCCATAAAAAGTCTCGCCGCGGCATTCTGCACCAGCTGGAGTTTCTGGGTCAGTCTCAAGGGCAGCCCCACGTAGAGCAAGTTACAATAAACAAGTCTGGAGGTGACCATCGCGTGGATCACAGTGGCTAGGTCAGGGCGAGAGAGGTAAGGAGCCAACTGCTTAGCTTGGCAGAGATGGAAAAATGCCGCCTTTGTTATAGCTGCAATCTGCGCCTCCATGGATGTTTATGTTTAGTCGGAATCTCCTTTCTCGTAACCTGAATCCATTGGTTTAGGTCCTACCCTCCAGAGCAGGGGAAACCATGCTTGCTCCATCTTCCATGCACTTTAGATATTTGAAGATGGCTCTTCTCTCTCCTCTCAATCTCCTCTTTTCCAGGCTAAACATACCCAGCTCCTTCAACCACTCCTCATCAGGCTTGGTTTCCTTTATTAATATAATATATATTTTTAATTTTAACATATAAATTATAAAATGGACCACAAAACTTTTCACTTATACAATCTTTTTGGACTTCCATCAGCACCTCTGATGATCCACCGTTTTAACCACTTCTTATGCATTTCTTAACTTTATATTGCCTTTACATCTCTTAACAAATCATCCTCCCCCTTGTGCATTTTTACAATACTTCTAATAATACCCCTCACAAAACTTCTTGCAACCCTACAATTGTCATCTGTTCTTCACAATTACTTTTCAAATAGTAAATAGTAAATTTACTCCAGTCTTCCGTGAATTTCTGGTCTCTCCGGTTTCGAATCCTTCCTGTTAGTTTATCTAATTCTGCATAGTCCATTAACTTCATTCTCCATTCTTCAATCGACGGTAACTCTTCTTGCTTCCATTTTTGGGCCAATAATATTCTTGCGGCTGTTATTGCATATAAAAAGAGCTTACATTCCTTTCTATTTATATCACTCCCCACAATGCCCAATAGAAATGCTTCTGGTTTCTTTATAAATGTATATTTCAACATTTTTTTCAACTCATTATATATCATCTCCCAGAAGCATTTCACCTTTTTACATTCCCACCACATGTGATAAAATGTTCCCTCTTTTTCTTTACATTTCCAACATTTATTACTGACTTTATACATTTTCGCAGGTGTAATATACCATCTATACATCATTTTCATCACATTTTCTTTTAGGGCATTGCATGCAGTAAATTTTAAACCTTCCTTCCATAATTTCACCCAATCACTCAGCTGTATATTATACCCAAAATCTTTGGCCCAGTCATCAGGCTTGGTTTCCAGACCCTTGATCATCTTGCCCTCCTCTGCGCACCTTCCAGCTTGTCCAGTTGTGGTACCCACAACTGGACACAGTTTTCCAGGAGTGGTCTGACCAAGGCTTCTTAAAATGTGAGGCTTGAACCCTGAAACTTCTGTATTCGGAGCATGCAATGTGTTGCAGCTCTGAACTGTGGTTGTTAGCCCATAAGGGGTGGCAAAAGCCTGGGATTGTTCCCCCTTTTGTCAAGAGATCATCATCATTGTTAATTTGTTAATCACTTCCTACACAATCAGCTCAATGCGATGGACAAGAAAAACAGCAAAGTAACAGCTGAAAACACTAAAAAGGAGGCCATACGTTTCAAACAAAACTAAAACAATTCAAAACAGGCACTCAAAATATGTAAACTGCTTAGTTATTTCTCTTGAAATGTGAATTAAGTAGTTGATTCATATATCAATCAGTCAATCATCACAAAATCGACATACCGCTTGATTGTAAAAAAAAACAACTAAGCCTCTCAAAGCGGTTTACAAAAAAGATAAAACAGTAAATAGGAAAGTTAACAGGAATTATTTAAGACTTTTAATGAAAAGTTAAAATGACTATAGGCTACAAACAGGTTTAACCTCGCAACAGCTTTCTAAGCACTTAGGTAGGCTAGGCCTGAACAGAAATGTTTTCAGCAAGCCTCAAAAACAGCACAAGGAAGGCGTTTGCCTGGTATCAATAGGCAGGGAGTTCCATAGGTACTGCCACCCAAACATATCTGAGTTCTTACATATGCGGAACAGGCAGCACGTGGCACCTGTCTTGCCGCCAGTTCCACCGAACGATGGGGTCAAGCAGTCACACGTGGGGGAAGGCAATTTCGTAGGCAGGCGGGTAAAATATCGCGGAGGGTTTCTGGGCATGGGGCAGGTGGGTGTTTGGAATAACAGGCCTCAATGCGTCACTCACATTTCTTCCTCCTTCATCCCATCCTCTCCATCAGCAGAAAACGGGCCGCCAGCACCTGAGGGATTTGCTGGGCTGGGATGAGTTTGACGAGGTCCGGGATCTGCGGCGAAGCATCTCTCTTGACATCCATTACCGCAGCCTGGTGTTCGCCACTGAGAAAGGCTTGTCGTGGGTTGCTGTGGCAGAAGTGGGAAGGCTGGCGGGGGAGCTGCTGGAAGAAACCATAGGTGAGTCAAGGAGAATTTCACTTTGCTAACTTATTTATTTACAGTGGTACCTTGGTTCTCAAACGCCTTGGTTCTCAAATTCCAAAAACCCGGAAGTAAATGTTCCAGTTTTCGAACGATTTTTGGAAGCCGAACGTCCGATGCAGCTGTTGGCTATTGTTTCCGGGGCGTCAGTCAGAAGCTGCGCCTTAGCTTTTGAACATTTCGGAAGTCAAACGGACTTCCGGCATGGATTAAGTTTGGCGCTTTTGTTTTTGCTATTTATTTTGCGTTTTTTGTTTCTGAGGCTTTTTCGGTTCATTTGTTTTTGTGACTGTGTGGAACCCAGTTCAGCTACTGACTGATGGATCGTGTGACTGCAAAAATGGATAAAAGCCCCCCATCCAAACAATGACTATCATCAGTGCAGGGAAGAAGAAAAAAAATAAATTTTAATTTTCATCATCTACAATACTATCTTATTTCTTTTATAATACAGTACATTGATTGTTGGTTTCATTTTATGGATCAATGGTTTCGATAGATAGTAAAATCCATGTTAAATTTTGGGGGTTGTTTTTAAAAGTCTGGAATGGATTAATTCGTTTTGCGTTACTTTCTATGGGAAAGCACGCTTTGGTTTTGGAACCGACTTCCAGAATGGATTAAGTTTGAGAACCAAGGTACCTCTTGTATTTTCATGATCTGTATGTTTCCATAGATCTCATAACTCTCTCTCTCTCTGTGTGTGTCCTACTTTGATTCCTGTAATCCAAATATTGAATCCTGCGATCATTGCCTGAGGCCCTTTTTCGTGTGCCTCCTCCACAAAAGGCCCAGAGGGTGGCAGCATGAGAACAGGGCCTTTTCTGTGGTGGCTCCCCTGGTTTGAGGAATGCTCTCTCCAGAGAGGCTTGCCTGGCACCTTCGTTACATATCTTAAGGCATTGGGAGGAAATGTTTCTCTTTGGCTGCTTAACATTCTACGGTCTTTAATAGTGTTTATTGGTCATTGGTTTGTTTTTGTTTCATTCGGTATTTTGTGTTTTCGTTTTGTGTTTTTATGCTGTGAACTGCCTAGTGATTGGTATACCAATTTAATAAATATAATATTAGTAGTAACAACAACAACAACCTGCTCTACATGGGGCTGCCTTTGGCAAGTGCTCAGAAACTTCAACTTGCTCAAAGAGCTGGAGAAAAATTGCTGACCAGGGCTGGTTATCGGGAGCAGATCGTTCCAAGAAGCTCCACTAGCTACTAGCCTGGTTTGGGGGCACATTTCAAAGTGCTGGTTAAGAACTATAAAGTTCTACACAGTTGAGGTCCAAGCTATCTGCAGGACCATATTCCCTCACACATAATTCCCTGGACCCCAAGATCTTAGGGGGGAGCCCTTCTCTCGGTCCCACCAACCTCACTGGCCTGCTTGTTGGGGACGCAGGAGAGTGCCTTCTCGGTGGTTGCTCCCGAACTACTTTGGAACTCTCTCCCTAGAGAAGCCAGACTGGCTCCCTCTTTGCTGCTTCCTTGTCCTTTCTGCTTCCTTGTCCTTGACAAGGACAACTGTGACTTTAAAGAAGAATGGGAACCTTTTACAAAGTGCTTAAAGAAACAACCAGCTGAACTGGACTCCTTGGCAGGTTTTGAATAAACATACACAAATTTATTATTGGTAACATATAGATAGATAAATTAAGGATCTTTACAATTTTATTATATGCAGAGATTAACATGTGCTGAAAAACCAGAGAGAGGAGCTGAGGGAAGTCTGGGGGGTGGGGTGGGAGGGTGGATTTCTGGTTTGGGGAGTGGGGAGAAGGTGGAAAAATGAGGGTGATATGTTTTTGATAAATTGTTGTGCTGAAATTATTAATATAAAAAAAAATATTAAAAAAGACTTTCTGCTTCCAACAAGCCTTTGGGAATTGGCTGCTTTTAATGAAAGGGCTGGTGCTGTGCTCTTTTTTATTGCAATTATCGGTATGGTTTGAATAGATTTCTAAGAATCATAGGATTGTCAAATTGGAAGAGACCCCAGGGGTCATCTAGTCCAATCCCCTTGTGCCACTTGGAGAGTATATTTGTGTGTGTGCGTGTGTGTAGTTTTAATGATTTTTTTCTATATTTTTTGGCTGTTGTTATTTTCATCTGTAAACTGTCTCGAGTGTGGAACTGAGGACTGCAAAAATGAGAGACCAAAATTGGCAGCTTTTATCTATCCCTGCCTAGGGAGCGTCCCCAACATCCTTTTAAAAAACTAGTTCTGCTCCTGTGCCCCTGAAAGCAGCCTGGCATGCAGGAACGTCACAAGCGGAGCTTTTCCTGGCCCGGAAACAAGCCCGGAAAGGTTCGATCTCCTGATTTTGTAATGTAACTGGAACCAGAGAAACGCAGTTGGAAGGAACCCCAAAGGTCATCCAGCCTAACCCTCTGCAACGTGTCAGGCTGCTGTCAGAGGCGGAGGAGCAGAGACAGTAAAACACTGTGCGGGCGCGGCAGAAGTGAAGCAATCCCCTTGCTGGGAATCAATTCCCCTTGGGTTAATGAGAACGGTTGTTAATAGGAGCAAACCTTATCAACAGATAAGGCAACAGCGAGCAACAGAAACTACACCCCCAGCAGCCTTGCAAGAATTTTTGCAGGAGGGTGTCAGTGGCACCTGTGCCAGGTCCCACCCTCTCCAGACGACACCTGTGGAAATTCCTCTTTTACGATCCGCCTTCGCTTGGTTATCAATCCTGTGGTTATCAGCCGCCAGCAGATTGCGCTGGCAGGGATTGCACCCGGGCGGTGAACTGCAAAGGCGGCAAGTAGCTGGGTGCGTAGAGAATCCCTTCCCCAATCCGTGGGGCTGAGACCCAGAGCTGGGGAAGCCTCCAGCCCAAGCAGCTGAGCTCAGCATCCCAAGAGAGAGACGCTTTGCAAGTTCTCCTGGTCCCCAGCTGACTTTTCCAGCCAAGCAAGTTGCCAGAAAAAAGGCGGGTGACCCTGTACTGTGGGCAACCTTTTTTTTTTTTTTTGCCCGAGGGTAATCCAGGCTGCAGATCTAGGAAACGGACAGGCTGGCTGACACATCTCTGCCGCTCCTTGCGCAAGCCTGTCAGTTTCTGATTAGATCTCGGCTGATCTGTTTTCTGGGAGGTGGTGGTGGGGAACGATGACTGGGGCAGGTGGGCTTCAATTTGTGTTTTTGTTTTTTAAATTTTAAATTTTTATTAAGTACAAATTAGAAAACATACATATTTACAACAAAAGAAAAAGAAAATACATATAACCAAGGAAAAAAAATAGAGAATACTTTGCCTCTTTTCATATTTACAGCTATTTATACCTCTATAAAATGCTATTCACAATAAAGGAGTGAAATGAAAGATAAGATATCAGAAAAAAGAAAAAAAGAACAAGGAAAAAATAAAGAAGTGAAAGAAAAGGATCATAGGTGAAAATGTTTAAAAGTAGATAAGTATTCACTATACATAGCAGTTTCCCATCTATATTTATATTCAATTGTATAATTTCATCTTGTCCTTGTTGTTGTTTAGTCGTTTAGTCGTGTCCGACTCTTCATGGCCCCATGTACCAGAGCACGCCAGGCACTCCTGTCTTCCACTGCCTCCCGCAGTTTGGTCAAACTCATGCTGGTAGCTTCGAGAACACTGTCCCACCATCTTGCCCTCTGTCGTCCCCTTCTCCTTGTGCCCTCCATCTTTTTCATTTTTTATTTATTTTTTAATAATTTTTATTAACTGGCCAATCACATCAAATTAAATCACATCACATAAATTCCAAATTACAAAGCCAAATTTTTAAATTTTGTTGGGGGAACCCATACTTCAAGATCCATCTTTTTCAACATCAGGGTCTTTTCCAGGGAGTTTTCTCTTCTCATGAGGTGGCCAAAGTCTTGGAGCCTCAGCTTCAGGATCTGTCCTTCCAGTGAGCACTCAGGGCTGATTTCCTTCAGAATGGAGAGGTTTGATCTTCTTGCAGTCCATGGGACTCTCAAGAGTCTCCTCCAGCACCACACGCATCTTGTCCTTATCTACCTTAAAAAGTGTGGTTTTTTTGTTTGTTTGTTTTTAAAAGACTTCCACCGGCTTCAATTTGATGCTGGTACCAACCCATCCTCATTGGCTCAGCAGCTCAAATGGCGAGCTGGGGAGGAAAGTAGGGCAGAGGTCCCTGAAATAATATGAAGAGGCACAACAGCTATCGTGACCTGGCTGAGACTGATGGGACCAGGCCTCTCCAATCCTCAGGAATTACTATGGTACCTTGGTTCGCAAACGCCTTGGTTCCCAAATGCGGAAAACCAGGAAGTAAGTGTTCCGGTTTTCAAACATTTTTCGGAAGCCGAACATCCGATACAGTTGTCGGCTATTGTTTCCAGGGTGCCTGCACCAATCAGAAACTGCACCTTGGTTTTCAAACATTTCGGAAGTCAAACGGACTCCCGGAATGGATTAAGTTTGGCACTTTTGTTTTTGTGTTTTTGTTTTTGAGGCTTTTTCGGTCAATTTGTTTTTGTGACTGTGTGGGTGATGATTTTTATCATCTACAACACTGTCTTATTTATTTTTTAGTACACTGGTACCTCGGGTTAAGAACTTAATTCGTTCCAGAGGTCCGTTCTTAACCTGAAACTGTTCTTAACCTGAGACATCACTTTAGCTAATGGGGCCTCCCGCTGCGCCGCTGTCATACAATTTCTGTTCTCATCCTGAAGCAAAGTTCTTAACCCAAGGTACTATTTCTGGGTTAGCGGAGTCTGTAACCTGAAGCGTCTGTAACCTGAAGCGTCTGTAACCCAAGGTACCACTGTACAGTATATTGTTTATTGCTTTCACTTTATGGATCAGTGGTCTCGTTATATAGTAAAAGTCATGTTAAATTGCTGTTTTAGGGGTTGTTTTTAATAGTCTGGAACGGATTAATCCGTTTTGCATTACTTTCTATGGGAAAGTGCACCTTGGTTTTGGAACGCTTTGGTTTTGGAATGGACTTCCGGAACGGATTAAGTTTGAAAACCAAGGTACCACTGTATAATAGAATCATACAGTTGGGAGGGACCCTGTGGGTCATCTAGTCCAACCCCCTTTGACGCAGAAATCTCAGCTAATAGGGGAATAGGGAGCTTCTTAGCAACTTGGCACATATTGCAAACTATAGACCCCAGGAGTCTTCGGGGGGGAAGCAGTCTTTGACTGCTTAGAGTGGCACGCCCTCCAACATTCCTCCGGTGAAAATAGGGATATTCCATTCCTTCAGTGCAGGGGGGGTTGGACTAGATGACCCTTGGGATCTCTTCCAACTCTATGATAAAAAACAACAACAACCCTCCAACATTTCTCTGACAAAAATAAATAATAATAATAATAATAATAATAATAATAATAATAATAATAATATTTTATTTATACCCCGCCCTTCCCGGTTCAAAAACCGGGCTCAGGGCAGCTAACAACAAATTTTAAACACTTTAAAACACTTAATTATAAAAGCAGCATAACAACAGTATAAAAACATGAATAACAATAAAAATCAAAAATCAATTAAATAATCCCCAGGGCTAGCTGGCTGAATTGGTCCTACTTGGGCCAGCAAGGAGGCCAGGGGAGAATTAGCTGTGGGGTCGCAGAGCGGGTGATCTTCATAAAAGGGGAGAGGGAGGAAAAAGAAGGGAAATAAAAGATCAGGCTGAATTCAAATCAAAAGCCAGGCAGAATAGCTCTGTCTTACAGGCTCTGTGGAAGGAGGTTAATCCTGCAGGGCTCTGGTCTCATGGGACAGAGCATTCCACCAGGTCGGAGCCATCACTGAGAAGGCCCTGGCCCTGGTGGAGGATAGTCTGACTTCCTTAGGGCCCGGGACCTCTAAACTATGATTATTCCTGGACCTTAAGGTCCTCTGCGGGGCAGACCAGGAGAGGCAGTCCCGTAAATAGGGATGGGCTTAGGAAAAGCAGGGATTTTCGGGATCAGATCAGCACCGGGATGTCTTCTGTAAATCTGGGACTCTCCCTGGAAAATAGGGGCACTTGGAGAGTCTGGAATGATGTGAGGCTGCTTGAAATGCATAGTGCAGAGAGAGCCTTGGTTTGCTTGCACGGTTCTCGGGTGCTCACAGGTTGTATCTCCCACGCACCCCTTGCCCCTTCCTGATTCCGAAGGCCCCTTTGTCAACCCCAAATCCTGAATGTGCCTCGCCCAGGCTTGTGATCCCTTTTGTGCTTCCTTGACCTGGAGGTGTTTGGAACATGCTGAATGGGGATGTGACCTTGTTTGATCTGCCCTAAGGCGGGGGCGGGAAGAAGGTAGATCAGAATCTCCTGGTAGAAATCCAGGTGATTTCCTTTATCAGTAGAAGGAAGAACAACAAGATGTCTGGGATCATTCTCTGTGGCAGCCTTTAAACTGCAAAGCTCCCTCCCTTCAGATGCGTTGTACAGGGTTTTTTTTTCAGGCGATGCTGAAGAAACACGCCTTTGCTCAGCCTTTTGGCATTTGAGGGTTAATTTTATTTGCATGCCGTCTTTCTGTAGATAAAACCATGCATCATCATTTTTGTTATTGATATCTTCTTCTCTGGTGATCGCTCGTAGCCGAGTAAGATTGTCTTCCATAAACACGGTTTTAACAATGAGTCCGTAAGTGACTGTGGAGGCCAATTCTGGATCCACATGTCCTTCCACAGTGGGGACATTGGTTTCTGGGCAGGAGTTGATCACGGTGTGGATTTGCCAAGCGTGCCACAAATCCAACTCAATGGAGTAACATTGGAAAATGTCGATCACTTCTCCTACCTGGGCAGTTATTTTTCCACAAGGGCCGACATTGATGCTGAAATCCAGCATCGCCTGAGCTCTGCAAGTTCAGCTTTTTCCTGATTCAAGTGCAGAGTGTTTGAGGACCGGGACATTCACAGGGAAACCAAAATGCTTGTTTACAAAGCTATTGTACTACCAACTTTACTGTATGCTTGTGAAACATGGACCACTTATAAACACCATCTCCAACTCCTCAAAAGATTCCATCAATGGTGTCTCCGAAAAAATTGACACATCATTTGGGAAGACAGGTGAACTAATGCCAGTGTACTGGAAGAAGCATAGATCACCAGTGTCGAAGCAATGATTCTTCAACATCAACTTCGTTGGACTGGTCATGTTGTGCGGATGCCTGATGATAGTCTTCCAAAGCAACTACTCTATTCCGAACTTAAAAATGGAAAGTGTAATGCTGGTGGTCAACAAAAGAGGTTTAAAAATATGCCGTCCATCTGACTGTGTTGCCACAGCCATTCTGGGCAGGTTCCAACAAAACATTAAAGCACACACAAAAAAACCACAAGGCGGCTTACAACATGAAAATAACACAGGATTGCAAACATAGCAAAAGCAGCCATAAACAATAAATACAACATATCAAAAAGTGCAGAACCAAATCAATCAATTGCCACATAACTCATAATAAGATCTAAAATAAAGCCACACAAAATTAATATTGATAACAACCCCCATTAAAAAATCACCCTCCCTTAAATTTATTTAGTGTGTGTGTTTGAATAATAATAATAATTTATTATTTATACCCCATCCATCTGGCTGGGTTTCCCCAGCCACTCTGGGCTACTCCCAGCAGAATATTAAAAAACATGATCAAACATCAGACATGATCAAACATTAAAAACA